CCTAGGATCTAATTTCCCTTCACTGTTATGGACGTATGCAGCACATCCAAAGGTCCTCAAGTGTCCTAAACTAGGTTTCCTATTACTCCATTTTTCCTCAGGACACTTAAAGCTGATGGCACTTGAGGGACTTTTGTTAATAAGATAGGCAGCTGTGTTTAGGGCTTCTCCCCAAAATGACTTAGGAAGGCAGGATGTAAAGAGGAGGCATCTCACATTCTCTAAAAGGGTTCTGTTCATTCTTTCAGCAACCCCATTCTGCTGAGGGGTTCTCCTAACAGTTCTATGTCTTAGGATGTCATGTTCAGTGTAATAAAAGTCAAATTCCTGGTTACAGAACTCTAAACCATTGTTTGTTCTAAGGGTTTTAATTCTTCTGTCAGTTTGGTTCTCTACAAGGACCTTCCAACTTTTAAACCTACCCAAAGCTTCATCCTTAGTCCTAAGCAAGAAAACCCACACCTTCCTACTGTAATCATCTACTATGGACAGAAAATAACTACTATCCCCATGTGATTTGACCCTTTCAGGTCCCCACAAGTCAGCATGCAAGTATTTTAAGCAATTGGCAGCCAGGTAAGTCCCTTATTGGAAACTCAACCTATGTTGCTTGCCCATAATGTAGGTCTCACAGAATTCAAGAGGTTTAATAGGGTCCTTACCAAACAGGCCCTGCTTATGAAGGATGTCCAGGCCGTGCTTATGAAGGATGTCTAGGCCCTTTTGGCTCATATGGCCTAGTCTTAAGTGCCATTTTTCAGTAACATTCAAGTTAGTCGAAACCAAAGCAGAATTTAAACAATCAGCATAATAGGATCCAGACAGAATATACAAGCCATTTTTTTAATCCCTTCAAGCAAAACACAATTATTTTTATAAACATAAAGGCAACAATTTTCAGCTTTATAACTACAACCAGATTCATCTAAGACACCTAATGAAATTAAGTTTCTTTTTAATTCTGGAATGTACCTCACTTTAGTCAACTTGACAGTTTTACCACTGTTTAGTTTTAATGTGATGCTGCCTATCCCTTCAACCCTACAAGCATTATTATTCCCCATGTAGACAGTTTCTAACCTATTCTCCTCATAGTCCTGAAACTAGTCTTTATTGGGACACATATGAAAAGAGCACCCAGAGTCCATTACCCCAATCATTTATCTTTTCTGTTTTAGAAACAGTTAAAACTTCAAATTCTTCTAAACTGGACTTAGAGGTTGCTAGGTTGCTTTCAGTATTCCCTTGTTTCTGTTTCTTAAGCCAGGCATAACAGTTCTTTTTCAAATGGCCAACCTTGTTACAAAAGAAACACTTCCTGGTTTCTCCTTTGGCTTTACGTTTTTGTCTTCCCTTTTTCTTATTCCTAAGCCCACTATCAGACTGGACAGAATTACTAATCTGATTAAAATTACCCTTTCCTTTAACAAAAAGATTACTAACAGTTCTTCTCTACACTTTAATCTCTAATTCCCTAGCTTTTAATCCTGAAACTATTAAATCGACGCTTGGGATAGTATCAGTATATTGAAAGGCATTTTTTACAACCTGGTAATCTTCAGTTAAAGAATTCAAAAGAATCATAGCTAAACTCGAGTCTTCGAGTTCTTGATCCGCACCCTTCAACACTTGGGTCAGTTTCAAGAACTCATCAATATTCTCATCAATAGTCCTAGAGCTATCCATTTTATATGCAAATAAAACATTTTTTAAGTAAGCTAGATTAGGAGCAGATTGTAATGTATAAAGAGATTCGAGTTTACCCCATACCACTGCCGGAGTTTCAAAACTGTCTACCTTCCGCAGGACCGCGTCGGAGAGGTTCATGATTATCAGATTGTACGCCTCCTCCTCCAGCTCTGCCTTCTTTTTCACTTTCTCCTCTGACCATTTGGTCACGTCCTTTTCTAGTGCGATGGCTACCTTGTTATGAGATAACAACGCCTTCATTTTCTTTTTCCAACTGTTGAAATCAATTTTCCCATCAAATTGGGTGATTTTGACTCTTGTAGTAGTCATAGTGACGGATTACTGTTTGGATCTAGGATTGACTCATAAACCCTAATCTTGGTTAAGGTTGAATTCGAATAATTTCATGAAGTTGATTGGATATTATAAGGTTTTCTAAGCCCTAAGCCACTAATTTGACTGATTATACTGAAACCCCCAATTTGTATAAACCCTAGGTTTCAAGAATCACTCAAATCAGACCGAATAAACCCTAATCTCGCTCTAATACCACTGTTGTATTTAAAACAGAATTCAAACCTATCAATCAACACTCACAAACACAATCACAAGACTTAATCTACCAAGAACACAATCAAGAACACAAGATTTTTACCGTGGTTCGCTTATTCCAGTGGAATAAACTGCATCCACGTTGAGCTCCAAGCAAATTGGGACTCACTGCACTATAAGGATCAAAGTATTACAAGTACAACTCAATCACAACCCAAATCGCTCAACTCTTACACTGTTACAATAATCACTCTAACTTCCCTGTAATCACAATAAGCTAACCAGAAAAACCGAAAGCCTATCCCAGAAAAATCACCCTGTAATTTCTGCTAACAAGATTCTCAAGAATCTAAAACCTGATTACAATATTTGAAAGAGTAGAAGATAAGAACCTGAAATCTAATGTAAAACGCGAGAGAGAAGAAGATAAAGTTGCTGTGCACTTCCTCAGATTTGTTGCCTTTTATACTTTGACTTAATAGACTGATAATAGCCGTCAGATCTGAATGGATTCAACGGCTGAGGATTGTCACTTGAGCTAATACTAAAACGTCAACATTTCAGTCATGCGCAGTACGACAGCGCTTAAGCTTCACTCAACATAACACTTGCACCAAAAAACCATGAGCTGTGATTTAGCTTGTAACTAGACTTCCGGTGGGCCAACTATTCGAATCTCACTGAAAACAGCTTGTGACTAGGGGTATTTACCCGAGCCTTGATCGAGAATTAGTCTCATACTTTTATGTGTGGGGACATCTTGAGGCTTTCATCCAAAAAAAAACTTGCACTGAAGTCCACTTCAGTCTCATTTTCAAAATTGATCTTATGTTTTAATTTTTATTAATATTAGACGTGTTTTTTTGCTTAAACCTTTTTCTTTTTATGTTACAATAGAAAAGATACATATTCCATTATTCCTTGGCGACTAAAACTATGCAGCGTGGAAACAGAGTATAGATAAATCCTGAGCATTATAAAAATTACAACATGCAAAATTTTAATGTTGGTTTTAGAATCTTCTCCTAATTCCATTTGCAATATTTTTTTCATGTTGAAGAAATGTCAAATTCAAAGCGTGGAAAGCACGGCCCAATGACAATGAGACAGTTATCTACATTCTGAGATATCTAAGTTGACTTGACAGAGATATTTTGTCCCTCTGCAAATGGATCCATGTGTTGCTTTGAAGCATTTTCAGGGTCTAATCCAACCAAGTGAAGTCCATAAACTGTTGAAAAAAAGAAAGTGAAATTGTGTGGATGTCCTGTCCTGAAGCTCATTTTTATATTCAACAAAAACCCTGCCTCCCTCTGACTCTCTCTCCCAACAAGTACAGAGAAGAATACTTTATAGTAGCAGAATTCTCGAGAATCTATAGGCTTCTGTGCACCCACTACATTATTTTATGGTTTCCTGACTCAACTCATTTACTTTTTTATCACACTTAGCTTCAAACACCTTCAGAGATGTCAATGCTGCATTGGTTTAAAGTTTAAACAATTCCAAGTCAAATGAAAAACCCAAAGGGTATTTCAAAGTTCGGATTTTGTACCAATCCCATTTCAGTTTGTCTCCAACAAGACATGATCCTTACCTTATCCAGTCATTCCTCTACAGGTCTAATCAACGTTTGATGATGTCTTCTTAGACGCAACTCACGTGTTATTGCACTAAACAAACTTTTCATCCAATAATTCCCCACGAACTTGCTGTTGCTCTACTTGCTTATCTTTCCGTTTTTGTTTTCTTCTCTACGAAGTGAAAGCATTGCTTTTACATGTGGTATACACTAATATTGGTTTTTCTAATACTTATCTAAATTTAGGAGGCCTAAGGTGAAAAACTTCAAATGAAAATGGAAAAAGAAAAAGTTGTTGATAGGCTGAAGATAAAAGGGTAATTATTTGCACATATTGATTAGTCTCAATGAAATGTTTCTTAGGAATACAATGAATTAAGCATTCAATAAAACAAATGAAAGAGAAAGAATACCTTATCTTGTCCAGTTTTATCATACATTAATCATAGCAATGTCCCTAGCAAAAGAACCAAAGACACGTCTCACCACTTATCTTCAGTGTTCGAACAAAACAAGAAAAGAAAATCACATCCAATTTTGAGATATTTTTCATTCCAGCTTGTCAGTGAACACGCCTCTTAAATTGAAACAATTCCAATTTCAATGAACTCAAATATTACACTCTCCATAGAAACATTGCTATTAAACTGATGTTTCCATATTCCATCTTTGCACCAAAATCACCTTTGGGTAGCTTAAGTGGTAGGATGAATGTCAGAATGTGTGGTTAAGATGCATGATCCTAGTTTTGAATCCCTCCACTCTCATAACGGTAAGCTGCCTAGAAACCCTGTTCTAGGACCCTGTAAATTTTTACACCAATATGATAAGGTCAATAATCAAACTTTTGTTGTCAAAAGATTAATATTTGTTTTAATAAGCTAACATGATTATTCAAATATTCTTTCACACCCACTTTAGGTTCTAAATTTCCAACTCTTTTCAAAGATTCTACTTCAATCCCCATAACACTTTCTCTTACTCGTTGTGTTGTGTTTACTATTTTACTACTAGTATCCTTCACTTTCTTAATCCCTATTGGAAGAAAAGAGAGAGAGAGAGAGGGAGAGAGAGAGAAGAAACAAGAAGCCGAAAGAAGATAAAGCCATCGCGTAGCACAGCAACCGTTAAGTAGCCGACGCCAATATTCGTTGTTTGTTCCTCTTCCTCTCTTAAAACCCGTGGCAACCCGAGTGTTCTTTTTTAAAACCCCTTAAGCCTTGAACACTTTGTCTTTTCATTCTCTTTAAACTAATCTTCTCTCTTTGTGTAGTCACTAACTGTTCTCTTCTTTATATATCTTTCTTTGTCTAGTTTGCTTGATCTTCCCTTGGATCATTTTTACTCTTCCACGATGGAGAATGGTTTCACTTCTTCTCCTCGAAACGACACGTTTAACCCTGCTGGTCTTCGTGTTCTCGTGGTTGATGATGACCCAACTTGGCTTAAAATCCTTGAAAAGATGCTCAAAAAGTGTTCTTATGAAGGTTAAATTGAAGCTAACTTTACTTTGTTACTGTTTTTATTTGCTAATATCTCTCTTTCTGTTTTACCATTCATATAATTTGCTACATGAAGGCTCATTTTAATTGTTCTTCTGCTTTGTTATGTTTCAGTAACCACGTGTGGTTTAGCCCGAGATGCCTTAAGCTTGCTTCGTGAGAGAAAGGACGGTTATGACATCGTAATTAGTGATGTTAATATGGCTGGTATGGATGGTTTCAAACTCCTTGAGCATGTTGGCCTTGAAATGGACCTTCCTGTTATCTGTAAGTTCTTTGTTATAACTTGTAACACATGAACCTTTGTCCTGAATTCAAACATTTTCCTTGCCTCATTTTGTTTTTTTCCACATTCACTAGAACTCTGCTTTTGATGACTCATATATATGGACTGAGCAGTGATGTCTGTTGATGGAGAGACAAGCCGTGTAATGAAGGGTGTGCAACATGGAGCATGCGATTATCTTCTGAAGCCCATACGAATGAAAGAAGACACACAAAATCACAACCCAAATCGCTCAACTCTTACACTGTTACAATAATCACTCTAACTTTCCTGTAATCACAATAAGCTAACCAGAAAAACCGAAAGCCTATCCCAGAAAAATCACCCTGTAATTTCTGCTAACAAGATTCTCAAGAATCTAAAACCTGATTACAATATTTGAAAGAGTAGAAAATAAGAACCTGAAATCTAATGTAAAACGCGAGAGAGAAGAAGATAAAGTTGCTGTGCACTTCCTCAGATCTGTTGCCTTTTATACTTTGACTTAATGGACTGATAATAGCCGTCAGATTTGAATGGATTCAATGGCTGAGGATTATCACTTGAGCTAATACTAAAACGTCAGCGTTTCAGTCATGCGCAGTACGACACCGCTTAAGCTTCACTCAACATAACACTTGCACCAAAAAACCATGAGCTGTGATTTAGCTTGTAACTAGACTTTCGGTGGGCCAACTATTCGAATCTCACTGAAAACAATTTGTGACTAGGGGTATTTACTCAAGCCTTGATCGAGAATTAGTCTCATACTTTTATGTGTGGGGACATCTTGAGGCTTTCATCCAAAAAAAAACTTGCACTGAAGTCTACTTCAGTCTCATTTTCAAAATTGATCTTATGTTTTAATTTTTATTAATATTAGACGTCTTTTGTTGCTTAAACCTTTTTCTTTTTATGTTACAATAGAAAAGATACATATTCCATTATTCCTTGGTGACTAAATCTATGCAGCGTGGAAACAGAGTATAGATAAATCCTGAGCATTATAAAAATTACAACATGCAAAAATTTAATGTTGGTTTTAGAATCTTCTCCTAATTCCATTTGCAATATTTTTTTCATGTTGAAGAAATGTCAAATTCAAAGCGTGGAAAGCACGGCCCAATGACAATGAGACAGTTATCTACATTCTGAGATATCTAAGTTGACTTGACAGAGATATTTTGTCCCTCTGCAAATGGATCCATGTGTTGCTTTGAAGCATTTTCAGGGTCTAATCCAACCAAGTGAAGTCCATAAACTGTTGAAAAAAAGAAAGTGAAATTGTGTGGATGTCCTGTCCTGAAGCTCATTTTTATATTCAACAAAAACCCTGCCTCCCTCTGACTCTCTCTCCCAACAAGTACAGAGAAGAATACTTTATAGTAGCAGAATTATCGAGAATCTATAGGCTTCTGTGCTCCCACTACATTATTTTATGGTTTCCTGACTCAATTCATTTACTTTTTTATCCCACTTAGCTTCAAACACCTTCAGAGATGTCAATGCTGCATTGGTTTAAAGTTTAAACAATTCCAAGTCAAATGAAAAACCCAAAGGGTATTTCAAAGTTCGGATTTTGTACCAATCCCATTTCAGTTTGTCTCCAACAAGACATGATCCTTACCTTATCCAGTCATTCCTCTACAGGTCTAATCAACGTTTGATGATGTCTTCTTAGACGCAACTCACGTGTTATTGCACTAAACAAACTTTTCATCCAATAATTCCCCACGAACTTGCTGTTGCTCTACTTGCTTATCTTTCCGTTTTTGTTTTCTTCTCTACGAAGTGAAAGCATTGCTTTTACATGTGGTATACACTAATATTGGTTTTTCTAATACTTATCTAAATTTAGGAGGCCTAAGGTGAAAAACTTCAAATGAAAATGGAAAAAGAAAAAGTTGTTGATAGGCTGAAGATAAAAGGGTAATTATTTGCACATATTGATTAGTCTCAATGAAATGTTTCTTAGGAATACAATGAATTAAGCATTCAATAAAACAAATGAAAGAGAAAGAATACCTTATCTTGTCCAGTTTTATCATACATTAATCATAGCAATGTCCCTAGCAAAAGAACCAAAGACACGTCTCACCACTTATCTTCAGTGTTCGAACATAACAAGAAAAGAAAATCACATCCAATTTTGAGATATTTTTCATTCCAGCTTGTCAGTGAACACGCCTCTTAAATTGAAAAAATTCCAATTTCAATGAACTCAAATATTACACTCTTCATAGAAACATTGCTATTAAACTGATGTTTCCATATTCCATCTTTGCACCAAAATCACCTTTGGGTAGCTTAAGTGGTAGGATGAATGTCAGAATGTGTGGTTAAGACGCATGATCCTAGTTTTGAATCCCTCCACTCTCATGACGGTAAGCTGCCTGGAAACCCTGTTCCAGGACCCTGTAAATTTTTACACCAATATGATAAGGTCAATAATCAAACTTTTGTTGTCAAAAGATTAATATTTGTTTTAATAAGCTAACATGATTATTCAAATATTCTTTCACACCCACTTTAGGTTCTAAATTTCCAACTCTTTTCAAAGATTCTACTTCAATCCCCATAACACTTTCTCTTACTCGTTGTGTTGTGTTTACTATTTTACTACTAGTATCCTTCACTTTCTTAATCCCTATTGGAAGAAAAGAGAGAGAGAGAGAGGGAGAGAGAGAGAAGAAACAAGAAGCCGAAAGAAGATAAAGCCATCGCGTAGCACAGCAACCGTTAAGTAGCCGACGCCAATATTCGTTGTTTGTTCCTCTTCCTCTCTTAAAACCCGTGGCAACCCGAGTGTTCTTTTTTAAAACCCCTTAAGCCTTGAACACTTTGTCTTTTCATTCTCTTTAAACTAATCTTCTCTCTTTGTGTAGTCACTAACTGTTCTCTTCTTTATATATCTTTCTTTGTCTAGTTTGCTTGATCTTCCCTTGGATCATTTTTACTCTTCCACGATGGAGAATGGTTTCACTTCTTCTCCTCGAAACGACACGTTTAACCCTGCTGGTCTTCGTGTTCTCGTGGTTGATGATGACCCAACTTGGCTTAAAATCCTTGAAAAGATGCTCAAAAAGTGTTCTTATGAAGGTTAAATTGAAGCTAACTTTACTTTGTTACTGTTTTTATTTGCTAATATCTCTCTTTCTGTTTTACCATTCATATAATTTGCTACATGAAGGCTATAAGATTCTCTTTTACCATAATTGTTGATTGCTGGATGATATTTTCTGTGTTTTGGGTTACTACTGAAGTTTGATACATAGATTCTAAGGCATTAGCCATTTCTATTTTGGGGTTCTTTTTGGTTGAGTCCTTGAAGATAAATCCGTTTTTATGTAATTATTTCATTAAAATCCCAGCTTTGCATGTGAGTAGCTGGTAATATTTCTCTCGAACGATGAGAGTGCAAGAAATAAGGTTGAGTTGCATGTCATGATGTCCTTGTTTTCTTTTATTTTTCGCTTTTCTGATTTCAACATTAGTGGCAATTACTGAGAATTTAACCTTATGGTTTTCTTCGAAGGGTAGAATTTTCTAGATGGTAGGTCTAAATTTATGAGCTTGATCTTCTCATATTGAGTACATACTATAAGAATGTTATAAATCCAGTTTGACTGTTAATAGTGTAATCGGCTGTCAGATTGATTGAAGTCAATTGAAAAATATATTTTGTGTTCAAGCTTCAGTAATTGTTGTGTTCTGACCCATATGCTGAGTCTCAGCTAGACTGTTATTCCAGGCTCAGGCCTTAGGGAACACCTTTCTGGTTGTTATAGGGAAGCATTTGAGATTCACGGATATGTGTAAGAATGTTTGCTAGATGTTGGTGTTGGATACTGATTTCTGCAGTAATTGATCAAGATCACCCAAATTCTTTTACTTAAAGAGCATAAATCTGTTGCTGGAAAGCAATTTAGGATAAATCTTTTGTTCAAATAAATATTGTAGTAGGTGAACTATGGTTATGAAGGCTTCCATTAGTTCCTATGCCCAAACCCCTCAAAAAATTTCTTCTAGTCAAGTTCCAATTCAGAAAGCCCATTGTAAAGACCAATCAATGGATGCACTCAATTTCTACTGGAAAGTGTTATACAAGATAGTGGAATGAGACTGTTTTTATTTAATCTTGTGAATGCAATTTACAAATTCTAAATAGGAAGTTTAGTATAATTGATATTGCGCTAATTCTTAAGCAATGAAATGCCTTGCACTTAGCATGACCCCAGCACCAACTTCTCGTGTTTTATGCTTGGCTTGTTAATAGGTCTTTATCAATGATTGAGCTGAGTTTAAACCTCGAGCCTATTCTTTATCTTAATTTTTATTTTTTTTTATTTTAAGAAAATTGTATCTAAGTATATAACTTTGTTTTTTAAGGCATGTGCACAAGGAAAATAATCACATGGGGAAAATTAGACTTTAATTTCACTCAATTAACATCCCTTATGGCCTCTGAAACTTTATGGTAGTGCTTAGTTTGTTCACTGAAGATGCCTAGTTCAGGCTGATGACAAGCCAAACTTGTACAGAATCAAGATGCAGTAAGGCTTCTGAACGTTTGAGTTAGACATCATGCAGATTATGGGGTAATCTAATTTTAGTGTGGGAACTACATGATGAAGAATTTTAGTGAAATTTTCAAATATGTTGTAATAGAAATAATTAGTGTGCTACTGATTATGCTGTTGGGTTTCTACAATTATGTTAAATCAATGTGATCTCTCCTATGATTTAGATATTGTGGCCTGAACTACTGAAATTAAGGTTGGATGTTACTAATTGATATATGAGATCATATAAATGTGTGATGTAAGCTTAACCTTGATATAAGTTTAACCGAGCCAGAATTGAGCAGACCAAATCTGGCTTGGCTAAGCCTGCAGAAGCCATGTGTTGGCTTTGTAAATTCTCTTCATGATATCAATGTTAGGCCTATTTGCACCATTGATGTAAATATGTTGAGATCTTTGCATCTACCTCATTTAACTGGCTCCTTGACTTTCAAGTTTTTCTCTGTAGTATCTTTATTTTCAGTTTCTTTTTAGTTCCTTTTTCTCTCCTGGTGCTGTCCAATACTTTTACTTAGTGCATGTGATCAAACCTTCTCAATCATCCTTCCAGTTTATTACCAGTCACTATTGAATTTTTAAGAAGTTCTGTTGATTACTATTTCAGTCTTGGCATTCTTGTTTTGGAGAGTCATTCTAGTATCCTATCTGTATGTTTCTCTACGAACACCCTAGACTATATTTTGCGCTTTCTAAAGTTAAAATTGTACTGTTGATCTACTGTACAACATCCTCTTTAGTCTTACTGCACTCACTTAAAGTCTTTCAGTGCTGAGGATATCTTTTCCCTTCCTATACTTTTAAGGGAATTAATTGTCAGATCTTCCTTGTGCAACAGCTAGTAACTATCTTATTTGTTAAAATGGTTGATTATAAAATTGAAACACAATTAAGAATTTGAGTCATAAAAAATTATAACATAAAACTTGGTTTGCCATGGATTTTATCATACAGATTTTTTTCTTTTTTATTGGTAAAATTTTTATTGTACATGTTGATTTTGCTTTTTGGAAAATATTCTCAGCTGTTCAGCATACTGACCTCATATTTTCTTACAAATTTCAAGGTTCATTTTAATTATTCTTCTGCTTTGTTATGTTTCAGTAACCACGTGTGGTTTAGCCCGAGATGCCTTAAGCTTGCTTCGGGAGAGAAAGGACGGTTATGACATCGTAATTAGTGATGTTAATATGCCTGATATGGATGGTTTCAAACTCCTTGAGCATGTTGGCCTTGAAATGGACCTTCCTGTTATCAGTAAGTTCTTTGTTATAACTTGTAACACATGAACCTTTGTCCTGAATTCAAACATTTTCCTTGCCTCATTTTGTTTTTTTCCACATTCACTGAAACTCTGCTTTTGATGACTCATATATATGGACTGAGCAGTGATGTCTGTTGATGGAGAGACAAGCCGTGTAATGAAGGGTGTGCAACATGGAGCATGCGATTATCTTCTGAAGCCCATACGAATGAAAGAACTTAGAAATATATGGCAGCATGTCCTCAGAAAGAGGATACATGAGATTCGAGACATTGAGTGTCTTGAAGGGTTTGAAACTATCCAAATGTCCAGAAATATATCAGATCAGTCTGATGATGGACACTTGCTTACAGGAGAAGATCTGACCTCTATAAAGAAAAGAAAAGATTTTGAAAACAAGGACGACGACAAAGATTATGGGGATCCCTTGTCAACCAAAAAGGCTAGAGTGGTGTGGTCGGTCGACCTTCACCAAAAGTTTGTGAAAGCTGTAAATCAGATTGGATTTGATAGTAAGTGATCATCATGAACTAAAAATTTTTAATTAACTTCATGAAAGTTACGTGTTTTTCAATGATATAACTGCCATCTTTAGCATGCTTCAACAGAGCCATGACATGTGATGTCTGTTTAACAGAAGTTGGTCCTAAAAAAATTCTGGACTTGATGAACGTGCCATGGCTGACAAGAGAAAATGTTGCAAGCCATTTGCAGGTAAACCTCACTATTAGATTTTGCTGACGAATACGAGGGGTTTTTTCTAACCATATTAAGTTATTCTTTGCCTTCTAGGTTTGTTCAAGAAAAATTGTGGTTGATTATTTATCACATATTTAATTTGCAAAAAAACTATTCTACACTGCAGTAGGATGGCATATATACTACCCTTATTTATCTGCTTTATATCCTGTTATTTTAATTGTTTGAGGAAATGCTTACAAAAACTATACTCTTATATCTTTTTCAGTTAAACATCCATTTCATGACTTCTCTTATAATATCAATGGTGGTATTTAATTTGAAAGTCTATCCTTTTTTTTTCCCCTGAATCTAAAAACAGATTTCATGTGAGAGTCTATCCAGCTATCATGTTGCTCATATTTTCTTTTTGGCTAAGGTAGATAAAAAAGGTTGAATGTCCACCACATAGTGCTAATATTTCACAATCAATGTAGACATTTACTTATAATTTATGATGAACAAGTATGTTTTTCACCATAAAACTAGGAAAATGAAAGGAGAAAAAAATTAAAGTGTTGTATAATGATCAATAATGTCTTAACAAGATGAAAAGTGTCTTGAAGGAATTTTTCCTTTATGCAGAAGTACCGCCTCTATTTGAGTAGGCTACAGAAGGAAAATGAATTTAAAACTTCTGTTGGTGGGGTAAAGCATACAGATTCTGCGCCAAAAGATTCCAATGGAAGTTTTGGAATTCAGAACCCGATCAGCATGCAACAAACTGATATTTCAAATGGCAGCTATGAGTTTTCTTGCAGTAACTCCCTTATCCAGAATGTGAGTCCCAAGAGCGTTGAAGGTGACCTTCAGGGGATTGTTTCAGTGCCTGTAACAGAACCGAAAAGAGCTTTAAGTGTTGATGTACCTGATCCCCTTAAGGCCAGGAGTTCGCAAAGGGATTTTGACTGTTTTGTCCCACCAGAAGCAGATATAAGCTTCACAGCTTTTGATTCTACTATTCCAACCCAATTTTCTTGGTGTAAAGTTCCAGAATCACCATTCAAGCATGAATGCAAACCACTTCAGGATGGCTTCAGCCAGCTACCTCTGCCTGGCCCTCAGCATCCCATACAAAATGATCATAAACAGTCAGTTCCATCCGTAAGCTCCAAATCTTCTGTAGCTGACAGGGACATTGAAATTAAGCCTTTGGATGCCACGTGCAGAAGCCATCATTCCAATCATGCAAGTCCAACAGGAACTATGATTGACTCTTTCTCTGGCCAAGCAGAGGTTCCTATTGCTAGTCATCAAGCTTTTGAGCCTATCTCCACCACGGCATCGAGCATGAAAAATCAGGGCTTTAATCCGAGTTCCATCTCTAATTTAGATTCTGCGCAGAGAAACATAAACCGGGGAATTGGGTCATCTCTAGCAACACTGGATGAGGACTTAAAATTGTATTTGCTTCAAGGTGACTGTTTAGCAATGAATCTTGGACTCCAGGATATTGATTTTTCACTATACGATGATCCACTGCTCATCAATGAAGTGCCATTTCACTTGTACGACTCTAGGTTTGACTACGAGCATCCCTGTGACCCAGCAGAATATTCTGTTGTTGATCAAAGTTTGTTCATAGCATGACCTTACTCTGCCGATCGTATGTCTGTGATGCATAATGGATATTTTGCTATCTCGTATTAGGTAATGATTCTATAAATGGAGTGCTACAACTCTTTAAGAATAGGGATCTTATTTTCGCATGTATAATATGAGTGATGACAATCATTAAGCATAATACTCTTGCTACATGAAGTTCTTGACATCAGGTTGGCATTGGTTACTGATGTATATGTATGTTAAAGAAGCAATGGGACTATGGGTGGCAATGCTCAAACTGTCATCAGTCATTGCAGATTCTGTATGAGTGCTATTACCTAAATAGAAAACAAATGTCCTTGCTGACCGCTGTTTCTAACATGCTACCTGAATGTCATTACCTTTGGTCATTGCCCTTTCAATTTGACTAATCATGGATGGAAGATTTTAATTCTGGCATTGCAAGATAAGAAAGGATTCCATTTGCAAAATTTGTGGCAGACAAGTGATTCAAAATTTCAAATAATGTTCACCAGCGTTCAACCATCCGTGAGCGAGCGTTTAAGGGCTATTGACACAGGTTATAACTTGCAAATTTGATTTAATATATTTATACATGCTTCAACTTCCTTCTTGATATGATCATACACACTTGCTCTCACAATGAAGAGATTTTCACCCGTACCACTTATAATTCAGACACAAGTACTTTATGAGTCCAGGCTCCTATCTGATATTATTTCACTTTCACTAACTGCGGCAGCCATACACAAACTCTTATATTCATACATGACCATAGCGGCAGGTAAAGAACCAGTACAAAAATTTGACTTCTTATTGATGTTGAAAGCTGCTCAACAGAAATTACAAATCTCCACTAATATCCTCTCTAATCTGAATCGTGTTAAACACCATAAAGATTTTCTTCCATCCCCATAAAAGTGTAATTTACAATAGTAGCTCTTCAAGGTGGGCAACAGTTTGGTCAATTTCAACTGAATCTCCATGGCCATACTTATACCAAAACACCCTCTATTTAGAAATTCAACACTGTATATTTGGAGAAGCATTCTCATGTGCATTTTTCTTTGGCAGTGAAGTAACTGATAGAGTTGTGCTCTGGTTATTTTTCTCCATAACACGCTTAAAGCTTGCAGTACTCATAGAAGACCTCCATGGTGGTCTATTACTTGCATCCTGGACAGTGTCAGCAGTTTGCTTCCTTGCAAATTTTGGTAGAGAAGTGACTGGACGTGTTGTGCTTCTGTAATTTTGCTCCCTAACAAGCTTGGAGCTCTCTTTACTGATTGAAGGCATTCTAGGAGGCCGTGAGCTTGCATCCTGAACTGCAGTTGGAGTTGGCTTCCCTCCACGTTTCGGTGACCAAGGCTGAGTAAGTGGGATCTACAATATATGGTTCATCAAATTACCACCAACCAGATAAGCATCTAAACGAACATGAAAGAACAAAATAATATAAAATAATTTAAGAATCAAGACTTTTAACTCTAGGAAAGGTGTCTATAGATGTTGCGCCCTTATGTATCCACCACCAAAAGAGATATAGGGAGGAGGATCATAGGTAATACAACAAAATGAAACTGAATATAATAGGCTTTTGTAACAAGCTTGAAATCACAAAAAATAGTTCATTCCACGATAATGATTTTGGTATCATAGTAAAATAAATATAGATAATATAAGAACCTTCTTCATTTGATTGCTCGGGGAAGGCGAACCACAACGAAGATCTCCATTTAGTTTAGCTTTAAAGCCAGTACTCTGCCTCAACTTTTCAGCATCATGCTCAGCTTTCCCCTGCATAACATGGGAGAAAAGTTATCGGTTGGCTAGGGCCACAAAGCAAATGATTGAACAGAAAAAAATTGACTGTCTTCTTAGGTCCCCTTTAAGAAATAGGTCATGTTACAAGCTTAAATTGGCAACGTATTGTTTAATGCCTTTTAAAATGAACTCATAACAAAAGGCATCCCCAACATAAGGCCTCAAAAAAGAATACTAAAAAGAAAGGGTTACGACTACAGACAACTACAGCAGATTAATAAAAATCATAATTCACTGCAACAGTATAAACAGAGAAGATAGGTAAGAACCTTTTTTGCCTGATTACTCTGGAAATTAGGTCGACAATTCAAAAGTTCATTCTTTTTAGCACCAAAGCCAGTACTCTGCCTCAGTTTTATAATGCCATGCTCTGTTTTCTCCTGCATAAAATGAAAGGAAAAATTAGTAAAGGTTCATTGTCTGACCATGCAAGGGAGATAAATCGTACAATCCCTTACTAACCACTAAAGGAAGGTACATCAAACCTAACATATTATATTACAATCACCTGGGGCAACTCAAATCTTTATTTATTGGTTCACATTATTAAGAAAACTTGCAACCTTCAACATATTTCCACATTTTTTAGATCTTGGCCCCATTCAAAAGCTAAGATGGTTGTATTTTTTTTCATTCAGCAACTGCCTAATAAACACAACAACACTACTATAAAGTCAAGTAAAATAAACCTTCGATCTAGTTTTCAGTTGTGCCTTTTCTGCTTCCTTTGCTTTGCTTTTCTCTTCCAGCTTCTGATAGAACTGACATGTAGCAAACAGATAAAAGGTATCAAAGGTTGGTAACATTACAACTCATGACATGATAAGAAATAAAACATATTACATAATCCTTGCCTCTTTCCTTTTTACTGCTCTTTCTTCACTTCTGAAGCTAAAAGGAGAGGATATATTTGGAGATTGTACTTTGCTTCCATTGATTTTCGCAGATTCTGAGCCACTGCCATACAACCAGTAAAATATAACTTAGAAGTTTCCATGTGAAAGTGTTATCACTACTTCCTTGTCCAGTCAATAAACATTTAATACTCATATAGAAGGTGAAATCAGTAAATATAGTATAACCGATGTTGGATGAGGTACTTAAGATCAGGACAGTTAAATACTTTTCAAATTTTATAACATGAGATCAAAGAGATGTGCATAGTTAAAAATAACTAGACCTGAAAATAAAAAAAGTAGCAATAACATGATTTATAAAGCAACAATTACAGGATATGCATACACAAGGAAAATTAAGTAGCAAAAATTCTTACTCCGTAGGGAGGGAATGCAATTTCCCGAATTCAGCCATTCCTCCGGAAACTGACTTATTGAGAAGTGCTTTATTCCTGTAACAATGATTCTTATCATGTTAGTAACAGATATAGTTTTTTTCTGCATGCAGTAAAAACAGAGAGTGTTTCATATTGGCTGAGACAATTTTTAGGGTAGAATACCTTTTATCTTCTGACTGGAAAATTTTGGAAAGATGCTTAGATACCCCATTAACAGAAGCCTGCAGATTGTAAATAAAAATCATCTTGTTGATTTAACATATTCTTCCTAGTATGATGAACAATTAGATGTGTGTGTACATGTATAAGGTTCGAAAAGGTGTACAGGGAATAGAAGTTACTCTGATTGGATTTCGTATGGGAGTTGAACTGTCTTTGGGTATTTTGGGGGAACCTTTACTGGTTTCACTAGCATGCGAAGTGAAATTAATTGACATATGGAGGGTTTTTGGAACTACTCTCTTTTTCTCATGTGAGTCTCCTACAGACTTCTTAGCAACATTATTTACATTTCTAGGTGGTAAGGAACGAGCTTGCTTGGAAGGATATGATGCCAGTCCTGATTCTCTGCTTTGAGTTGATGACTTTGCTGAGCAACTTGACCTTTTTTTCTTGCTTGACGAAGCCAAATTCTCTTGATCTACAACTTCCTGCATTGTACAAAACAATAATAAATATAATATACTAAGTTAAACAGGATTAAAAAAAATGGATTGGCTAGACATATAACCTTGTTGAGCATGTTCTCAACAGGGGAAGCCACAATCTCGTTGAGGAAATCAGCATTCTGAATCTGCTTCAAGCTATCAGCTTGGATAGGTTTCTCCACATTGACAGCACATTCTATTACCGGTGCAGCTCCTTTCGAATCAGCATTTTCTACCTCATTATTTACATTGATAGAATTGCATGCATTTGCATCAAGAGAATTGGCTACCTCAGTATCAGGAAGATTTTTTTCACATTGTTTATCACTAACTACATGGCTATTTTTCTTTGCTAACTCTAAATCTGTGGAAGAGCCATTGTCAGTATTGGAAATATATTGTTCTTGTTGTTTGTCGATGACCAGGTGGCTGTTTGCTTCTACTGACTCTGTATCCGTGGGGGAGTCATTGTGAATTTCACCAGTAGTTTTTAAATCAGGGGCATCATTAGCAGCTGATTTTGCTTCCTCAATTGCTGCTGCTTTCATGGCAGCTTTTCTCTTATAATGAGCTTCAAAATATGCTTTCTTCTCAGCTACAGAACCTGGTTTAGAAAACTTCTCAACTTCTTCTAAGTAACGATTGTGAGAAAATGTTGACCATTTCTCCCAAGCCAGAGATTCTGACACAAATCGCCCGAATGATATTGATTCTGTAAGAGCATGAATAGGATCACCCTGTAATGTAAAACAACTTATGAGTTTCCTCTTCAAAGCCATACAACATAGATTTTCTACTGATAGTAATAACCAAAAACATTAAGCATGAATGGGGATTTTTATCCAAATATATCTAAATGCATATTGAACAGGGAAATATGAAAAAATTTCACTAAATCATCTCATACTTGAGTAGAAAATTCATAATTATCCATGATATTGAAACCCCACCCAGTTTTTTGCTACTGTAATTACAAAACAACAGAATTTCGCTAGCCCCAATAAGGAGCACATGAAAACGTGACTATAAATAAAAACAGAATGGACAATAGAAGACACAACACCAAAGATCAATCGCAACCTGATTACATCAAATAAACAGTAGACAGCAAAGGAATCAAATTGTAACATAAGAATCATTTAGAAAATTAAAGAAAGAGATATTCCTGTCTGGTTCTAGGAAGTTATTAAGGAAAAGAAACTGCTTGAAAGTAACTTCCTTTAGTAGTTATTAGGCAGTTTCAGCAGTTTCTCTTCATTTCTTCTGCTCCTTCCCAAGAACACAAACGGAAGTTATGTATCCAATCTAACACAACCAAGAATTGAATGCAATTTCCAATATCTCCCAGAAGCCAAAAGAAACCATAAGAACAAATTAAAAAAAAAAAAAAAAAGGGAACATGTATTGGAGACTTCATTTGTAAGATATATATTAATATGTATCTAAAGATTTCAATAGAAAATAACAGAACAAGAAGACAGAAAACCAAGAAACGCAGAACTTAAAAAAATATTTCAAAACAAACCTCTTTGGCTTCACAAGAAGCGTCAGATGGATGAGAAAACGATCTCAAGAGCACAGCTGATTCACCCATTTCTTTATGTATAGACTTAAAACCCTTTCTTATCTTTTCTTTCTTTCTTTCTTCTTCCTTTCTTGGTTAAAAATGATAATATTTATCAAGCGAGCTCACTACCCAGAATGAAGTTCACTGACAATATTCACTCGGGAATTTGAATCACTGACTCATAGGCTCATATGGGTCCGTTTCTCGTGGTCCAGAGAAGCAAAGCAACACCATGTAACTGAGACACAAAATGATACACGCAGAATAGAAAGAAACTTTTAAATGTGGGGGTTTTTCGGTTTGCCTTTAGTATATATATTCACTACTGTTTTCTTCTAAAAAAGATTGAATCTTTGCTATGAAAAAAATGAATCTATGAGTTGGACCCATTAAAGCTTTCCCAACGTCTACTTCTCTTTTTTGTTTGGGTTATATATGTGTGTGTGTGTGATGTGAAGATGGTAAACAAGATGTGAGGTGGGTGAGAGAAAGTATCAAACTTTATTGCATTAGTTTATAAGTTGTAATTTGAATTTGAAGCAGAGAGAGAGAGAGACATTTCTCCTCGAATAATTGGGGGGTTTTGCAACGGCTTTTGTCTACAAGGAATGAATATGAATTAAAGAGTAAACGACTTTTTCCCACACAAGGTTTACCTTAATTACTTTTTTCACCCAAAAAGTTTTAAAATACTACTTTTCACCCAAAGTTTATATTCTATTAACACAAAATACATTTCATTTTCTCAACTGGTGTTGTGCGAGTTATTGAAAACCAGGGTAACAGGAGTTTTACAGAGTAGAGACCATTGAATCGAATGGTGGTTAGAGGTGAAAAAATGGGCTGGGTTAGGCAAGTCGGCTTGACTAAACCCAGGCTCGGCTTAAGGGCGGGTCGAGTTGGGCTCGGCCTGGGTATCCCTCAACGGGTTTATTTTTATTTTTTCAAACTTGTCGAGCCCGGCGAGGTTGGCCATTTCTTTTTTTGTTGGGCGGGCTCGCAAAAAAACCCATCGGATCGATCGAGCCAAGCTAGCCCTTTTGAAAAAAGAGTCGATCAAATCCAACTTGGCCCGCAAATTGCCCAGGCCCAACACGGGCTGAGCCACCCGCTTTTCCACCTCTAATAGTGATGACCGATTAAATATTTACCATAGAAATCAACCAAAAAACAGCTAAGAACAAAAAACCCTAACTTTACGATGATCGAGAATTGATGAGAAATCAAATTTCAAAATAAGAGAGATTTTATAGAGAAAAGATCAGAGATTTAAATAGTGGTGATGAAAAGAATTTTTACTATTAAAATCGATTTTGGATAATAACGTAATATAAACTTTGGATGAAAAAGTAGTATTTTAAAATTTTTTGGGTGAAAAATGTTTTTTTAGCAAACCTTGGGTGGGAAAAGACCGTTTACTCATACATTGAACATTTAATTTTAACGTTTTGACTTTTGAAGCCCAATGCTCAACAACTGGGACATCTACATGTGCTATTAAAAAAATAAGAAAAAATATATTCACGTGAACGTTGGTCTTGTTTTATTAGTCAAGGTGCTTCCCACTATAATTTTCATATATAATTATAATCTTAACAATTAATCGTAATTTTGTAATAATTATAAAACTTGACAATAAATTAATAATTAATGAACAATTGAGCTTCTGCAGCTTTAATGGAGATCATATAACAGACACATATTAAATTTTAAGACAGACGGTTAACATGCTGGATAATCTTTAAAGTAAAATCTAGAAAACTCTTGAGCCAAACCATTTATCACCTTTCAGGATTTAGACTTTGCTACACTGGAAACTCCATTGACATACTGCAAACTCTACAACTGATTCTCCTTACAGAAAAAAGAATTTTATTTCCTGTAATACTGTAAAACAAAAAGGGCACAACTTAGAGCTTCAAGACACCACTGTAATTGATCATTTAACATTGATATCCAAGATTTTACCATCACTACTTGACTTGGGGATGGTTATATACAACACCCCATCTTTGACTTCAGCTCTAATTTTTTCAAACTCAACATTCTCAGGCAACGCAATCCGACAGCTATACTTTCCATAGCTTTTAGCAGACCATTCTTCTTCACCATTATTCTCATGGTCTTCCTTATTTCGACCCACCTTTTCAGCCTTCAAAACCAGCATCTTCTCCTCTACCCAAACCTTGACATCATCTTTAGTCATTCCAGGCATGTCAAACCTCATCTTGTACTCGCGTTCTCCTTCTTTTATCTCCCATGGCGTTCTTCCTCTGCTGTAACCACCTGTCTCGCTTGGTAGAGGTGAGAGCCATGTCCCGGAATATGTAAATGGATCCTCCACCATCCTATCCATCGTCTCCATCATCTGCTGCACCGTTCTTGCCGTAGGAAACCGGTCCCATAACCCTGAACAATACATTCAAATAAAATAAAATAAAATAAAAAAACCAGTCAGTGTATATTCTAAACAAACTTAAAACTCCCAAATTTAAATATTCAAAGTGTTGCATGTGACTGAGTTTTCCTTTGAACATTAAGTAGAAAGATTCAAAATTTGCTAAAGAAATAGGGATAAAATGGTAAGAGTACCTATTGGTGCAACAGGGGCAACGCGTTTCCGGGGTTGGGGTTGTTGGTGTTTGGAGCTGGCTCGCTGCAAATGATCCAGGTTGTCTCGGTTTTCTCCGGCCAAGGCCTTGACGGTGAAATTGTTGCGGCTGAAGCCTCCATTATTTGGGGAGAAAAGGTGGGGTTTTCTTGAATTTATGGTAGTTTTGTAAGATAAAGGAAGGGAGATGCTTATACTGGAGAGAGCCTGAGACATTTTGGAATTGGTGTTTGTTGATACAGTGAAGTTGATATCAATTCAATTAGCCACCGGAAAGGAGGAGTTTGGTTGATTTATATATGGAAAAGAAGAGAAGAGAAGACATTTCTAGAAAGAGAAATGAGATAGAATTGGACAGAGAGTGCAGAATTTCTAGACTCCTCCAGAGGACTTCTGCAGATGGGAGGGACGACGTCGTTTTCAGTATTCTCACTCACTCTACCGATAACAAAAGGTTGAGGAACTTTCCTTGGGATCAGAAATATTTTTTCCAACCTCTGTTTCTTTTATTTTTATGAGTTTTCCGTAAATGTTTCTAAATCATGAGGTTTCTGAGAAAGAAAAGAAATTAAATAATATTAGAAAAATTAAAAAGTTAAAAAAATTTAAAAAAAAGGGTAATTTCTGAAAGAGTAATGTTACATTTACACCATTCTTTTACACAATTTTCATTACATTATGACGTGGCATATGTCACAACCACACAAATTTTTAATTATTTTGAATTTTTAATAGTATAATAAACTTTGTGTGATTGTAATAAATGTCACATCATGTTGTAATAAATATGGTATAAAAGAGTAGTATAAATGTAACATTACTCTTTAGCCTTACTCTTTCTAGAATACAATGAAATTTATTTATTTTTAATTCATTTGGGGGGTTAGAAAGAGATAGGGTCCGGTTTAAATAACACCACTCTTTATACAATATTATTTTACAAATAAAATTTGAGTGGAGTTATTACTTATTAGCACCCCAATAATGAACTAAAGAAACCAAAACAAGATTGGAAAGATTCCGATTATAAGTTTATTGTTTATTAGTCATAATTAAATAAAAAAGTTAAAAGAATTAAAAAGATCAGGAAAGTGGAGATTAAAAGGATTAAGAAAATGTTAATTTTGGAATAAAACAAAATTTATTTAAATTTAATTGACTTTGGAGCTAAAAAAGAATTTAGGTGGAACTTAAATAACACCATTCCATTTAAATTACCACTCTTGTATAAATTATGTACAAAATTACACTCTTGCCCCCATTCAGGCCCAGCAATAAATATACGCTACGCAGTTAAGCCCATCTCCATAGTTTCTCTTACTCGGGCCAAGTGGAAAAGGGCATTTTTTTTTTTTTTTTTTTTAATACAAGTCATTCTTCTAATTAGTTAATTTTTAAAATAAAAAATAATATATATATAACACGTGTATTCATACAGTTCGAAATTAGTATGATGTCAGATTTATGGTCAGCTTTTGACTGTACCACCGTCGCAAAATAAATGCATATCACTCATCTTCTTCATTCAAAGCTTAACACTCAGCACTTCCCTCCACCCTTTTCATATTTACACCATCACCACCACCACCACCACCACCACCACCACCATTTCAGGGGGGGCAGTTTACTAGAAGGACATCTCAAGTTTGCATTTAATTAAAAGGCTATCAAGTTTTAAAGTGTTAACTAAATAGCCATATTATTGATTAAGGGTAATTAGTGCTTAATTAGGATTAATGAAGTATTATGTAATCTTTTCAAAATTATATTATATTCCCACAAACCTGAAATTGTTGCAAACAAACCCAAANTGCAAATTGCAATTACAGCCATTGGATCATTGACTCTCATACATAAGGTAATTCAAGGCTTCTTAAACTATATACAAACACATAAACATGCCAGAAATTAATCAAAACCAAGAACAGATAAATTTCATTTTAAGCCAGGGGATAAGAAATACTACCTAGAAGGATCACCATGAGCAGCCAACCAAGGTTCAACCATAGACACACCAAACCCATCAAAAACATGCCTCTCTTTTTCCCCATTCCCAATCTGTGCCAAATTAGCCTGCTTTTTTAACCAATTCAACACCTTAAATCCATCCTCAAACGACGACGGATACCTACTCTCTGGCGCCAACCTATACCCAACCGCTATAACAATTACATCACACAACTTGGCAATCCTTCTACAAAACGCATCGTTTGCAACCGAGTCACAGCTCCCACTCACAAACCCCCCACCATGAAACTGCAACATAACAGGCAGTTTCTTGTAGCCATTATTTCTTCCCGTCGTGAGAGGAGAATAGCCTTTGTAAACATGACCATTATCCAAAGAAGAGTCAACAACTGTATCAGGAAGAAATATACGGAGCGTGAGACCAGAATTGGGGTCTATGTGGATATCTTTAGTCGCCACCCCATCAACGAAAGTGGGATTGCTGGGGGCTACAGCTCCGTCGGGCCTTGAAGTGGTGACAAAGGAAGATAATTGAGTTTGTGCTTGTACAGTTAGATTGTGTAGTTGATGTTTCTTGTTGAGTTTGAAGAAGATACTATAGAGTTTGACAGTTAAACTTGGCATTGCTTGTGAGCAAGATGCTAAGAAAGATTAATGGGGACGAGGATTGAGATTTTCTTTTGGTTTCGTGAAGCAGTCATTAACAAGAACGAGGGAAAAGAGGAGGAAGAGACTGGTTCTTCAAGTTGAATCGTAATTATTAATCTTTTTCTCGATGGCGTCTGTGACTGGACTGGATGAGGATGTCTTAAAAAGAAAGTTTTGTTAATTATGCCGAGGATGATTGTACTTTTCAAAGTCCAAATGGAAGCTGGAAGGTTCCGCAGACGCTGTTTGGTTAAGAGTTGGACAGCCCCTGATGTAGGGGATGATGAAATGGAGCTTCGTTGGATTGTCGGCGGTGTTACATGGGTGGGTCCCGATTGCTTGGCCGCGTGATTGCCATCTGGAATGATTAATCTTCTCCCTTTTACTTCCATAACAGCACATGGTTTCCCAACCTGGACCACGACACGAATCCAATCTTTAGATTCACAATGCCTATTCTTCCCTGGAGAAAAGGATACAGAGTCCTCAAGCTCTTTCAAATGGCTACTATTCAGTGTTTAAGCTAATGAGAGTTTTTGAATGATTTTTATAACATCTTTAAGTGATCATATTTTATTATTGGATACATCTCCTTTCCACTTAACAATTCCCATCCTGTGAGGCTCAGGCCCCTCTCAAATAAAAAAATAAAAAAAGAACCCGGAAAGTAAAAGTGCAAAGGTAGCTATTGACTTAGTTTCCAGCTGCCCCCGAACCAGACAACACTGCAAGTTGCAACAAATTAACCCAACTCTGCTAAATCTAAAGACAAGATTTTAACAAATCTATGGCTGGAAAATTTAACACACTTGGATTCAAAGAAGCATATGCAAGCAGCTCCTTGTCTTTTTCAAATAAGGCCATGTCTTGTTCACTCAGAATCACCCACGCCTCTATTGCTCCGTCTCCTCCTCTTGTGTCGATTAATTTCACAACGTTCTTGAGAGGACCTCCAGAAATATTAGTCACCCACGTTGGCTTCCCCCACCCGAAATCAATATCATAAAATGAAAAATTACACAAACTGGTGCAAATGTAAAATTCCATGTCGTGGCTTATAAGCATGCATAATTCCTCTTTCAATGACTCTGTAATCTCTTCGTATGCAACTTCACTTTGAAGTTTCTTCACATACTTCTTACTAAAATCTTGTTTTCCAGTCCTTAATTCACGAACCAACCCTTGTAGTTCTATATCACTCTCATCTTTTTGCGCCGGAAAGTACCCTACAAGGTTCCCGATTGAGTCGTCAGGCAACGGTGGTTCTGTTCTTCTTCGTATATTCACAGATTGTGATAACAAAGACAGCTTCGAAAACCCTGAATTCGATCTTGATGCATTCATAGCACATTTCCAAATGAGGGCTGTTACAACTTCAACGCGTGTAGGTTGCTGCACGCTCGCGCTGGCCGCTATGGACTTAAGAGCAGCGATTTTTGGCGCATCAAAAACAAACCTTTTTACAACACACTTGCCTTTCGTGAAGTTGAGTAGAGCCGGTGGTGGTAAAACGCCTTCAGAGAAACTCATGGGTGGGAATAAGGACGATGCAATGTATAATGGCCGCTGCTGCAACTCAGAGCCAATATTCGCGGCGGCCCAGCTCTTGATGAACGTGCTTAACGTGGCTGCGTCGCCTAATTTGTGAGAAAGACACACCCCGATTGCAACACCACCACAACTGAAAAAACTTGATTGAACAAGTAGTAGAGCGTCCCTGCCTGCGGCTTCTGTGGAGTCAACCTCAACAGGAAGGAACTCTTTAAGTGCGTCTGCGTTGGGTTGTTTAAGAAAGTCTGATAGCAGGCAGGCCACTCGAGCTTCGACATAAACAGCTCCATAGTCGCTACAATCAATCTCGATGTTATCTTTTACTCTTCCTGCAAGTGGGAAAAATTGAGTCAACGTATCAGAGAGTGATTTCTTTAACCGGTGGGAATCAGCTGCGTCACCATTGAAGGAGTAGAAGAGAAGTAGAGGTTCATAAGTTGGAGGAGCGAGCTGATCTAAAAGGGATAGCTTGAAATTTCTCAAGTTATGAGGAGTTGAAGAAGAGGGTTTGATGATTTCTTTAGCTGTAATCTCAACTTTCATCTTCGGAAATTTGGTTGGATAATCTCTCTTGCAATCTGTCAAGCACTCAAGCTATACTGATGTAAAGCATTTGCTTTAATATGCGTTTAGTGCACCAACTCTATTAATTAATTAAAGACTCGACGACTTTTCTCCACCACAAATTGGCACATTCTCACTTTATTATCTAAGATGACGAACATAAAACAAATTTGATTTTATAATGAGATGACGATAAGGCGGTCATAATGTGTGACGTTAAGTAAAAGTTATTTTTATCATTCTAATAATATAAGAATATATTAAAAAACTATTTTAAACCTATTTTTCTTATCTTTCAAGATACAAAATCATTAGGAGAGATAAATGATTATCGACAAGCTCACAAGGTCAGATTAATAGAGGGTTTTAGAGAGTAGATATCGAAGAAACGATAGGTGGTAAAATAAGTGATTTTTAATATCAGGATTGACTAGAAAAGACTTGAAAAGTCACTGCTTAAAAGGTATTAAAAATAGATATAAATTTGAATAGTATAATGATATTTAAAAGTATGTGGAATGATAAAGTATTATTAAGCCATTATTTAGGTGAAAAAAATAATTTACTCTTAATTAAAAAAATAAACAGTAATTCAACCCATTAACAAATATTATTCTTAATATATTTATCATAGAATAAACTAATGAAGATTGAAGAATGCTTTACGTAATTTTCATTTTAATTAAAGAATTAGCTGGCCCTCCCATGTGTCTTTCTTTATATGTTGGTGGGGAGGCGGCATGGTGTCGACGGTTCTGATTAGGAATTTAATTACTAATAAATTAAAATCTTTATCCATATATTATCAGACACCTGTTCTGACCAATCACCTTTAAAGCCCCAAGTTAGATTTTCAGAGTACAAATTAATAACACAAATCACATGTGAAAATTTTAAAACAATATCTTTTGACAATAATTCACCTTTGAAATTTGAGAAAAGTGCTTTAAGAAAAAATTGTAGATGTAACAGAGAAACAAATTGGATTATCCCATCTGTCCATTAAAGTTGACCAAATAAACCCATAATCAAAAAGAGGATAGATTTGATTTAGAATTTGGAAAAAAAATTATATATATTATTATTTTATTATTTTGCTTTCTTTCGAGTGTGGTACTTAACCATTGACTATAGGAGGGGTGCTTAACGGGCCGAGCCGCTCGTAAGCCAGCTCGACTCAACTCGAGTCTAGCTCGTTAATGGATTGACTTGGTTCGTGAGTCAAAACGAGCTGAATTCGAGCCATACCTGACTCGGCTCGTTAGGCTCACGAGCCGAGCTTGGCTAAAAACAGTTTGATTTTTTCCTTAAAAAATTGAATTTTTGAGAGTCAGCTCGATAAGCCGGCTCGATATATCTTAGACTCTTTTCTGAGCCGAGTCGCAAATTTCATGGCTCGGCTCGATTAATCTTCTTCTCTCATGAGCCGAGCTCATTAAGTCGAAAACTCGGCTCGGCTTGGCTCGTTAACACCCCTAGACTATAGTATTAGATTTAAATTTAATAATCAACCCATGTTATTGATTAAAGAGAAACGAATTGCCTAATTAAAGATTAATTTAGTATAAGTCTTACATAGTGTCATGGGTAGACCTGACAAAACATGCAGGTGGGCTGAGTATGGCTCAGGCCCAACAGCATGGGTCCAAAAATTAGATCTGAACCCAACCCTACCCTATGCGGGTATGGGTGGACTTGTGGGTATCCATACTGTTCACTTTAATTTTCAATTTTTATAATTACACCCTCACAATTTATACATTTTTTATTTTTTACAATCATAATCCGATCACCTAAACAACCCCTATTAGAATTAAAAAGTGTACCAAACAGGGGGGATATCGTTTCTTTTGAAAATGTTGATAGCCTACTAGAATTAAAATTTACAAGGAAGATGTTAATAAAGGTGTCATTGGCCTCATTGGGTTGAGCTTCAAGAGACTTGGATTCAAAGAAGCATAAGCAAGAAGCTCCTTGTCACATTCAAATAATGTCATATCCTTTTCACTCAGAATCACCAAAGCCTCTATTGATCCATCGCCTTCTCTAGAGTCCATCAGCTTCACCAGATTCTTCAGAGTCGCGCCCGAAATAGTCACCCACGTTGGCTTTCCCCACCCAAAATCAATTTCATAAAATGGGAAATTACTCATATTTGTTAGTTTGTAGAATTCTATGTCTCGGCTTTTAAACATGCTCACTGCCTCTTTGAATGTCTCCGTAATCGCCTTGAATGCGTCGTCTTGAAGTTTCTTCACATACTTCTTACTGAAATCTTGTTTTCCTCTTCTAATCTCACGAACCAACCCTTGTAATTCTATCTCACTCTCGTCCTTGCGGGCTGAAATGTGCGCGCCGAGGTTACCGATAGTGTTTTCAGGCAACGGTGGTACAATCTGGCTACGTAAATTCACAGATTGGGACAAGAGAGATGGCCTCAAAATCCTTGAGTTTGATCTTGCAGCGTTCAAAGCACATTTCCAAATGAGTGCGGTCACAGCTTCGGCTCGTGTTGGATTTTGCACGCCTGGACTGGCAGTTATGGCCTTAAGAGCATCAATCTTTGGCGCAGCGAAAACTAATCTCCGTAAAACACACTTCTCTTTCGAGAAGTTAAGTGCCATAGAAGTCATGGTAGATAAATTCCTCGGCGGGAACAAGGATGATGCATTGAATAATGGAACCACGGTATCGCCTACGCCAAGAGCTGTGGCGGACCAGCCCTTCAGGAACGTGCCATACGTGGCTCCATCTGTTAACTTGTGCGAAAGGCCGACCCCAATGGCAACACCGTCGCAATTGAAGAAGGTGGATTGAACAAGTATTAGAGAGTCTGTGCTTGATTCAGTCGAATCCAGCTCAAATGGCAAGAACTGATTAAGTGCTTCCAAGTCAAGATGTTCCAGAATTTCCGACAGAAGACAGTTGACTCGTGCTTCCACACAACCAACTCCATAGTCGTTACAGTCAATCGTGAAATTGTCTTTTATTCTTCCGGCTAGTGGGAAAAAGCGAGTTAACGTATCGGCTAGCGATTTCTTTAGGTGGTGGGATTGCTGATCAGCAAGGAAGGCATGGTGAGTTGTGTCACCATTTGGGTAGAAGAAAATCATAGGTCCATAAACTGCAGGAGCGAGCTGATCAAATAGGGATAACTTGAAACTTCTTAAATTATCAGGGGTTGGAGAGGACGGTTTGATAATTTCTTTTGCAACGATGTCAACTTTCATCTTTGCCAATTAGAATTACTCTCACAATCTCTTGTTTTTTCGTACGCTGTTGTGTTATAATTCAAGGATTAAATAGCCCCTGGAATCGATTCAACATTAAGTCTCTGCAGGCTGTGCACAAAATTCAAGCAGGAATAAGTTTCGTAGAACAATTCAGAAAATGATTAATAAAGTTAATGAAACAAAGCTTTAGTGTGCCATATGTTGCAAGGAATTTTCATAGCGTTGAAGAATATAAGAGCTAGGCAGCCGGCAGTGCTTTTACGCGAACCTCAACTAATTTCTTGATCAGGGGTGTCTGGATCAGTTTACACGCACTTCAATTAATCCCTCGACTAGGGATGTTTAGACCAGTTTACGCACATCTCAACTAATCTCCTAAACTAATCTCCCAACTGGTGGTATCCGAACTAATTTGCGCACACCTCAACTAATCTTCCGATCGAGGGTGTTCGAACTAGCTTGGGTACACCTCAATCAATCCTATAAGACCCTGAAGTTGACGACCAAGTAACCTCCTCAGTGACTACCTCTATTAGGGCCTCTGTGGACTCAAACTCAAAAATTTATAAAATCTCATTTTACTATTTTACCACCAAACCATTTAATGATGGTTGTAATACTGTATTTCCTTCTAGAGAATGTAAACAATATTAGAGCGGACTGTACAAGTCACTTGAGAACAAGATTAAACCTGTCTCCATACTTGATTGGGATAATTGAAAACAAGACAATCAGACGTGGCATTTAGAGATTGTTTCAACTGCAGAAGTGAAAGAGAAGCAAAAGAACGTCTAATGTACATTCTGCTGAAACTCCCACTTGTACATTAGACTAATTCTTCTTTATTTAATTGGTTTTTCTTGACCCCAGTTGCAGTAGCATGTCGTAATTGCAGACTGTGAGTGTTATTTTTGTTAAGTTAAGGGAGTTGTTTTAGGAGCATTTCCAGCAAAAGCTGCATGATGGCTTAGATTTCCACCCAAGAACCAGCACCCTTTCTCTCAACAATGGTGTAGCCTTCACAACCTTGACCTTCTTCAGCCACTGCTTGGCCTGCATATCATCTTGATTGCCACCGTTGAAACCCAGCACGACTCATTCCCCTGCGCCATTGGTCAACCCTCTCGTGCCTCTCCACCCTGGCTGGCCCTTCACAGCTCACTATGTTCTTTATCTCTCTTGCGAAAAGAACTGCTCCATCTTGGCACGTCTCGTGTCATACTTGGTAACATTGCATCTAGTGGTCAAATATAGCTGAATAGTAATGCAATGCCTCCATGAACCTCCCTAGAAAGAATGGCCCATTATGGCTTGAGTCTTGCTCACTAAAACGAACACTTTTGTGATAGCTCGTGTATCTTTGTAAAACAGAGTTTAATGCACCTCGCTCTCTTTCACTACGCAATGCAGTTGGAGAAGCTATTGATCACCAGAACTTCACCGTCTTCCACGCGGATGTCTTTGGCTTGCAGGGATTCAAGACTCTTTTCCACCACTAAAATTCGAACTTCAAATACAGCTCTTTGCATGGCTATCTAGCTGTTCTCCAATTGCTGGAGCGTTCAATGTTGTTCCAACACAAGTTATTCTAAAGCGGTTTGGTGTTTTTATTATTGCCTGAACGGTTGGCTAGCTGTCCATTAAACTGCGCCATTGGGGCCATGGGGCAGGCCTATGTTCATGCCCAAGTCCACAACATGAACTAAACTCTCTCCCTCAAAGGCTTCCAATACGACGCATTCGCTAGAAATGACCGAATTGGATTTGTGGGCAATTCTAAACAAGGCTTAAGGCTTCATCCATCTCTGATGTAATATCCATTGTTTTCGTCTGGGGCCTATGACTCCTACAGCTCCAAGTGGTTGAACTTGAGCAAGGCGATCAAAATTCCTTGAACGAAGCAGGAAGCCACTCGCTGAAACGATGTCCCAAGCCAAGGGCATACCCTCAATTCTGATAGTAAGTTGAAGCATGCACTTTATCACGGCAAGCCACAGCCTCTGCGCAAGCAATGAGTTGTTGGACTATTTCATCCCATCTCCATTCCCTTCCTCCTTGACTCCTGTCTCCTCGGCTCCCATCATGGATAAGGCTGCTTCCTCCATGCTCAATTGCTAGGTATCTCCGCGTGTAAGCCCTATATGGTCACGGATTGGAGTCTTGGCAGGTATTCAAGCTATTACTACTCCCATGTTTACCACCACTATAGAGACTACTACTTTCGCTAGAATCATCAGCTAATGGTGTCAACTTCACCTCTTAGGCTTTTAGTTTCATCTAAAATGTCTGACAATGTGCAGAACCATTCTCCGCAGTGGCAACTTGAAGAACGTGACATGCATTGCCAAGAAGTTGAGGTCAAGGGCTCGCCCTCAATTTTCATCATCACCTACAATCCAGGGCGACATCGGAGATGACAGGTTCCATTATAATCTTGCCTCTATTGCTTAGAACATTCTGGGAAAATGTTCTGAGACCCAGCTAGCAGTTCAAGGGATATTTATTGGGTTTCCTTGTTTGGGTGACTTACAAGGACAAGGTCACATATTGAAAGCTAAACAATGAGAAAATATTGAAAGAGAAATCATTTTAATAACTTTGTCTTGCGAAAGTCGACAATGTAAGCCCTAGAACATGTTAACATAGTGCATCAGAGTACATTCTTTCACATTCATTACACAGAATCCCTACAGCCTGGAACTTTATTCCCTTGTTTTACCCTAGGCTTCATATTCTTATCCAGCTGAAAAATTTGTCCTAGTTACTGTCATTTCCTGATATGCAGTATTTTTTTGATTTAACGACTTTTTCCCACCCAATAATGGTCTAATGACACTTTCACATCCACTAATTTTTAAAATACCACTTGCTACCCAATTTATTCCAACAGCGAACAGAGAACATTCGGTTTAGACTGTTGGGTCTTTTGAAAGGAGATTGATGAGTCTTTTGGTGGTAGAAGTTGGATTTTGTGGTTGGGATTGATCGAATTTTACTGGGAGGGACGGCTGTACAAGCCTTAATCGCTCGATTGTCGATGATTGACAGGTCGACAAAAGTTTAAAGGTTTTTGGTGAGTGATAATCGAGAAAGAGAATATGGTGGTAGGTCTAACGATCCGAAATCGGAAATGAAATTAAATTTGAATATAAAGTGTATTTTAAAAGTTTGTGGTGGGAAAAAGTCATTTACTCAGCTTTTATATATTAACATCATCTCATTTACCACGGTCTCAACCCTCGACCCGAATCCTTAGTGCCATAGCATAGACACAAAAATGAGAACAAATTGCCTTGTCTATACGTCTTTATTTCTTTTAATCTATTTTTGTTTTCAGTGTAATCACAAAATCGGTTCCCACTGTAGTGGCCTGTTTGGTCTTGGAGAAGGCAATGATGGAGACCAATCTATAAATGTTCGATTTAGTATGTATAGTTTATGTGCTTAGTTACAAGAAGAAAATAAAAAATGATGAGTGTGCATATGTTAGCCGGCGGCCAGCTCAGGTTTTGCTATCACAGTTTAATTTATTCATCGCTATCACCATTGTCCACCGAGAAAAACAACCTTTTAGGTCGCATGGCTTGTCTAATAAATAATTCTGTGCCAGCGAATGCGTATACAACAGATATAAGACGTCAAAATGGTATGGGAAAGAATAGAATAAATCAAATTAAGGTTCCCAGAAGACCTTTAACAGGAGGAAATAATGCTCTCAAAGTTCAATGGAATCTCCTAATCTATTATAAACAGACAAACACATCATGCTTTACAAGGAAAGAACAGGTTTCGAAAGACCTTGCCTTAAACAGACAACTCGGCCAACCCTCAACGCACAAAAACCATGCTAGCTCCTCTGCCTACTAATCCGTTCAGTATGAAAATTCATGGCCTCTTATGATATATATTTCTTGACCCAATAGCAATGTCTTCTGCACAGGCCAGGGCTTGCGGTGTTTGCAGGAGAGTTCAAGAGTAGCAAACTCATGCACAGCATCCTTGTAATCAGATGGGGCGCATCTACATTAACCTTCTGTAGTTCTTCTGAGTAAGCAATGGCTCGATCCTCATCCAGTCATGTTCTGCAACAACTGTCAGTGTCGGAGGCATCTGCTTCAGTGGACCTCTCCCTGGGATAAGAGTTGGCAGCAGGGTGATCTAAGTTGAAGTCACCTCAGGTAGGAAAAGTTTCCATGCTTGTAACACTAGGCTGTGTGTAGAATGAGGAATTCGACAGCTTATTTCCGAATTCGTGGGAACACTCCCCATGAAGAAAGGATACATGAGAACTTGGCCACACCCTTCACAGGATCCAACACTTTCCTGCTTCTACAGCCTTCCTGCCACATAGTCCCTATGTTTGCACCACAGCTCACCCCAAGGAGTACACACCCTTTTCTGACAACAGGACCAAGTTACTCAAAAGCACCTCTCATAAAAACATGATGAAAAGAACACAACACATATAAGCAATAAGATTGCTCCTTTTATAAAGCATGCCAGGAACATTGAACAGAGTACTGCGAAAGGTTTTGCAGCAAAACAGTGCATCCTAGGTTGCACACTAAGATTGCCCCTTTTATAAGCATGCCAGGAAGCTCCTTTATAAATCAACTATTGAAAATTGCAATTACTGGCATTGGATCATTGACTCTCATACATAAGGTAATTCAGGGCTTCTTAAACTATATACAAACACTAAACAGCCAGAAATTATCAAAACCAAGAACAGATAAATTTCATTTTAAGCCAGGGGATAAGAATACTACCTAGAAGGATCACCATGAGCCCCAACCAAGGTTCACCCATAACCCACCAACCCATCAAAACATGCCTCTCTTTTCCCCATTCCCAATCTGTGCCAAATTGCCTGCTTTTTCAACCAATTCACCACCTTAATCCATCCTCAAACGATGACGGATACCTACTCTCTGGCGCCAACCTATACCCAACCGCTATAACAATTACATCACACAACTTGGCAATCCTTCTACAAACGCATCGTTTGCAACCGAGTCCACAGCTCCCACTCACAACCCCCCACCATGAACTGCAACATACAGGCAGTTTCTGTAGCCATATTTCTCCCCGTCGTGAGAGGAGAATAGCCTTTGTAAACATGACCATTATCCAAAGAGAGTCAACAACTGTATCAGGAAGAAATATACGGAGCGTGAGACCAGAATTGGGGTCTATGTGGATATCTTTAGTCGCCACCCCATCACCGAAAGTGGGATTGCTGGGGGCTACAGCTCCGTCGGGCCTTGAAGTGGTGACAAAGGAAGATAATGGAGTTTGTGCTTGACAGTTAGATTGTGTAGTTGATGTTTCTTGTTGAGTTTGAAGAATACTATAGAGTTTGACAGTTAAACTTGGCATTGCTTGTGAGCAATGGCTAAGAAGATTAATGGGGACGAGGATTGAGATTTTCTTTTGGTTTCGTGAAGCAGTCATTAACAAGAACGAGGGAAAAGAGAGGAAGAGACTGTTTCTTCAAGTTGAATCGTAATTATATAATCTTTTTCTCGATGGCGTCTGTGACTGGACTGGATGAATGTCTTAAAAGAAAGTTTCGTTAATTATGAAAAGGATGATTGTACTTTCAAAGTCCAAATGGAAGCTGGAAGGTTCCGCAGACGCGTGTTTGGTTAAGAGTTGACAGCCCCTGATGTAGGGGATGATGAAATGGAGCTTCGTTGGATTGTCGGCGGTGTTACTGGGTGGGTCCCGATTGCTTGGCCGCGTGATTGCCATCTGGATGATTAATCTTCTCCCTTTTACTTCCATAACAGCACATGGTTTCCCAACCTGGACCACGACACGAATCCAATCTTTAGATTCACAATGCTATTCTTCCCTGGAGAAAAGGACAAGTCCTCAAGCTCTTTCAAATGGCTACTATTCAGTGTTTAAGCTAATGAGAGTTTTTGAATGATTTTTTATAACATCTTTAAGTGATCATATTTTATTATTGGATACATCTCCTTTCCACTTAACAATTCCATCCTTGGAGGCTCAGGCCCCTCTCAATAAAAAAATAAAAAAAAGAACCCGGAAAGTAAAAGTGCACAGTATGCTATTGACTTAATTTCAAGCTGTCCCCGAACCAGACAACACAGTAAGTTGCAACAAATTAACCCAACTCTGCAAACCTAAAGACAGATTTTAGAAGAATCTATGGCTGAAATTAAAACACACTTGGATTCAAAGAAGCATATGCAAGCAGCTCCTTGTCTTTTTCAAATAAGGCCATGTCTGTTCACTCAGAATCACCCACGCCTCTATTGCTCCGTCTCCTCCTCTTGTGTCGATAATTTCACAACGTTCTTAGAGCGACCTCCAAATATTAGTCACCCACGTTGGCTTCCCCCACCCGAATCAATATCATAAATGAAAATTACACAAACTGGTGCAAATGTAAATTCCATGTCGTGGCTTATAAGCTGCATAATCCCTCTTTCAATGACTCTGTAATCTCTTCGTATGCACTTCACTTTGAAGTTTCTTCACATACTCTTACTAAAATCTTGTTTTCCAGTCCTTAACTCACGAACCAACCCTTGTAGTTCTATATCACCTCATCTTTTTGCGCCGAGTACCCTACAAGGTTCCCGATTGAGTCGTCAGGCAACGGTGGTTTCGGTCCGTCTTCGTATATTCACAGATGGGAAACAAAGACAGCTTCGAAAACCCTGAATTCGATCTTGATGCATTCATAGCACATTTCCAAATGAGGGCTGTTACAACTTCAACGCGTGTGGTGGCTGCACCTCGCGCTGGCCGCTATGGACTTAAGAGCAGCGATTTTTGGCGCATCAAAACAAACCTTTTTACAACACACTTGCCTTCGGTGAAGTTAGTAGAGCGGTGGTGTAAACGCCTTCAGAGAAACTCATGGGTGGAATAGACGATGCAATGTATAATGGCCGCTGCTGCAACTCAGAGCCATATTCGCGGCGGCCCAGCTCTTATGAACGTGCTTAACGTGGCTGCGTCGCCTAATTTGTAGAAAGACACCCCCCGATTGCAACCCCACCACAACTGAAAAAACTTGATTGAACAAGTAGTAGAGCGTCCCTGCCTGCGGCTCTTGTGGAGTCAACCTCAACAGGAAGGAACTCTTTAAGTGCGTCTGCGTTGGGTTGTTAAGAAAGTCTGATAGCAGGCAGGCCACTCGAGCTTCGACATAAACAGCTCCATAGTCGCTACAATCATCTCGATGTTATCTTTTCTCTTTCCGCATGGGAAAAATTGAGTCAACGTATCAGAGTATTTTCTTTAACCGGGGGGATCGCTGCGTCACCATTGAAGGAGTAGAAGAGATAGAGGTTCATAAGTTGGAGGAGCGAGCTGATCTAAAAGGGATAGCTTGAAATTTCTCAAGTTATGAGGAGTTGAAAGAAGGGTTTGATGATTTCTTTAGCTGAATCTCAACTTTCATCTTCGGAAATTTGGTTGGATAATCTCCTTTGCAATCTGTCGCACTCAAGCTATACTGATGTAAAGCATTTGCTTTAATATGCGTTTAGTGCACCAACTCTATTATTAATTAAAGACTCGACGACTTTCCTCCACCACAAATTGGCACATTCTCACTTTATTATCTAAGATGACGAACAAAAACAAATTTGATTTTATAATGAGATGACGATAAGCGGTCATAATGTGTGACGTTAAGTAAAAGTTATTTTTATCATTCTATAATATAAGAAAAATATTAAAAACTATTTAAACCTATTTTTCTTATCTTTCAAGACAAATCATTAGGAGAGATAAATGATTATCGACAAGCTCACAAGGTCAGATTAATAGAGGGTTTTAGAGAGTAATACGAAGAAACGATAGGTGGTAAAATAAGTGATTTTTATATCAGGATTGACTAGAAAGACTTGAAATCCTGCTTAAAAGGTATTAAAAATAGTATAAATTTGAATATATAATGATATTTAAAAGTATGTGGAATGATAAAGTATTATTACCATATTGGTGAAAAAAATAATTTTCTTAATTAAAAAATAAACAGTATTCACCCATTAACAAATATTATTCTTAATATATTTATCATAGAATAACTAATAAGATTGAAGAATGCTTTACGTAATTTTCATTTATATAAAGAATTAGCTGGCCCTCCCATGTGTCTTTCTTTATATGTTGGTGGGGAGGCGGCATGGTTCGACGGTTCTGATTAGGAATTTAATTACTAATAATTAAAATCTTTATCCTATATTATCAGACCCCTGTTCTGACCAATCACCTTTAAAGCCCCAAGTTAGATTTTCAGAGTACAAATTAATAACACAAATCCATGTGAAAATTTTAAAACAATATCTTTTGACAATAATTCACCTTGAAATTTGAGAAAAGTGCTTTAAGAAAAATTGTAGATGTAACAGAGAACAAATTGATTATCCCATCTGTCCATTAAAGTTGACCAAATAAACCCATAATCAAAAGGATAGATTTGATTTAGAATTTGGAAAAAAATTTATATATTATATTTTTTATTTTGCTTTCTTTCGAGTGTGGTACTTAACCATTGACTATAGGAGGGGTGCTTAACGGGCCGAGCCGCTCGTAAGCCAGCTCGACTCAACTCGAGTCTAGCTCGTTAATGGATTGACTTGGTTCGTGAGTCAAAACGAGCTGAATTCGGCCATACCTGACTCGGCTCGTTAGGCTCACGAGCCGAGCTTGGCTAAAAACAGTTTGATTTTTTTCCTAAAAATTGAATTTTTGAGAGTCAGCTCGATAAGCCGGCTCGATATATCTTAGACTCTTTTCTGAGCCAGTCGCAAATTTCATGGCTCGCTCGATTAATCTCTTTCTCTCATGAGCCGAGCTCATTAAGTCGAAAACTCGGCTCGGCTTGGCTCATTTCGCGACAATAGAGTTGGCACTTGCTAGACTTATACAGCATTTCGATTGGGCATTGCCTCAAGGAGTTGAGGCCGAGGACGTTGACCTTCAAGAGATTTTTGGGCTTGCCACAAGGAAAAAAACTGCTCTGGGACTTGTCCCAACAGCTAACAAGGATTATGAACCCAAGGAAAATGATGGTTAATCGGGGTTTATGATTTCAAGTTATATTTTTAAAAGGATGACAAAACATAGTTTTTATCTAGAAGCAATCACTGGGAGCTTCGTGATGATATACTTCTTCGACAACAAATGTAATACTATAAAAATTTCACTGTTTTGAGAAACAAGCAGAATTTGCATTCAGATGATACTGACAACAAATATTTGGTTCCGTAAACAAAGTCTACAAACAAAATTGTATAATCAGTGTTTGCATCCACCACCTCTGTGCAACTTTCTATAAACCACAATACTTTCCAATCTCACTGAGCACGGGATACTGGAATATGTCTATCAAATGCTTGCTTGACCTTCAGCCTTAAACCCTGGTTAATGAGAAAGAAACCCGACCAAAAAAAAAAAAAAAATCAGACTCCGAAAGAAATTATTTATTAAGTTGATATTCAAGATGTGTGGACAGCTTTCTGTAACAAGTTTCTGCAAGAACAAATAATCAACAAGACAAGTCTAATGCTTATATCCGTTTAACTCACTTGGCTTTTTTCTTAGAATTTTCCTCTGAGTCCTCAGTGGCGTTGGCATCTAGTGCTGTTAGCTTCCCGAATGATTCTTTTGCATCCCCAAAGATGTCTTTCACTTTATCAAACACTGTCTTTAGCTTGTCTGGAGTTGGAAGCTGAAAATCGGATTAAAATGGCACAAACAGATTAGATTGAACGTCAACCACCTGTGTAGCCCTAAAAATTGAACCTAATGTCTAGTTAAACAAGATAGATGACCAAAATCCAAGAAAATTAATGCTCACCTCAATGACATCAGTAGTAGAAAGTGCAGCTCTCAAATTGCCATTTTCCTACATATTCACCGTGTATAAGAACTAAAGATAATGAACAGATAAAAATTATCCTTCACCATGCTTTTACAAATAAATAGCTTTGATCGAGATTAAATACAACCTAAGTGAAAAGTTAAATGCTAATTGGTGTGAAGCAAAGGGCACAGGAGTATTACCACAAGTTTGTATCCGTATCTGAATTCAGTAGCCGACCGCAATACACGAAATTGCTTGAATGCTGTCTTCTGTATCTCCTTCTCATCCTACTTGGAAAAGAGGAGCAGCAGTGAGTACAATATGACAATTACATGTAAAATGATTGGCCTTGAGTAAACGGCAATCTCAACTAGGAAGATAATCCAGTGTGTGAGCTCTATGCCAGTCAAAGAATTAACTTTAATTAGCCTAACACAGAGTAAGCTATTTGAACCAAGCTGTACACCATTAGAATCCTTAAAAGCATAATCACAAATTGCCAATGAAAGTTAAAGTTTCGTCAAGCCATCAAAAGAGTAAAAGTTTTGGCGAACAAGGGAAAAAGTGGAAAGAGAACTTACCCTGTAAATAACAGCAGCAAGATTTCTAGCAAGTGTATCTTTGTATATATATTTGCCAAGAAAATTATCTTTTGCGGCAACCATGATTTTGGCAGTGGTGCCCCCTGATACTATACTAAGTGGGTACCAAAGATAAACCTACGCAAAAACGAGAACTTTAACACAATAAACACTCAATCAACATCACTGTAAAGAGTACAATTTGAAAAGATTACTACTAACATTGGCCATACGAATGAAGATAACAAAACGAGGGTTGCCATCGTCTTCAATCTTGGGCAAGGAAGGAGGAGGAGGTCTTTGAAACTGGCGAGGTTGCATTCCTCTTTTCCCCTTAGCTTCAACTACCAACATTTGTCTCTGACGAGGGGACTTTAGGGTTGTGATTCTAGAAGAGAAAAGCGAGTGCTTAACAAGCACGTCTTCGTGGGTTCTTGAACTCGATAAAGGAAGCCGAACCAGCGCGTTTAGAGACATTCCCACCTCCATTTTTGCGTTTCTTCGCTATTCTTTCTCTGTTTCTCTTTATTTTTATTTTTTTGTGTTAGTGTTACTTCACTTGATCTCTGCGTGTGTATTTCTTATCCACATACAGAGTACTGTCGCTGGAATGGCCCGAGAGTTACGGTGACATTTGCACCATACACGTGGCAGATATATAATTGGCAAATGAGTCGCTAACTTTTGACAAGAAACGATGTCGTTTCACTGTAAATTGTTTTCGTGATTATCTTCTCCTCTGTGGCGGCGAGGTTATCAAGATGTTTACGGAGATGGATTATAACAAGTTTGACCAAATGCTTAAACCGAAATTTGAAGGGCTTTTGGAAAACCCAGGTTTGACCAAGTCATTTATGTATGAGATTTCTACACAATTAAGCATTGGTTTGCTCAAATTTATTTGCTTAATTTTACAGTGGCAGTTTAGAGATTGTTTCAACTGCAGAAGTGAAAGAGAAGCAAAAGAACGTCTAATGTACATTCTCTCTGAAACTCTCACTTGTACATTAGACTACTTCTTCTTTATTTAATTGGTTTTTCTTGAACCCAGTTGCAGTAGCATGTCGTAATTGCAGACGTGTGAGTGTTATTATTTTATGTTAAGTTAAGGGAGTTGTTTTAGGAGCATTTCCAGCAAGAAGCTGCAATGATGGGCTTAGATTTCCACCCAAGAACCAAGCACCCTTTCTCTTCAACAATGGTGTAGCCTTCACAAACCTTGACCTTCTTCAGCCACTGCTTGGCCTGCATTATCATCTTGATTGCCACCGGTTGAAACCCAGCACGACTCATTCTCCTGCGCCATTGGTCAACCCTCTCGTGCCTCTCCACCCTGGCTGGCCCTTCACAGCTCACTATGTTCTTTATCTCTTCTGCGAAAAAGAACTGCTCCATCTTGGCACGTCTCGTGTCATACTTGGGTAACATTGCATCTAGTGAGTCAAATATAGCTGAATAGTAATGCAATGCCTCCATGAACCTCCCTAGAAAGAATGGCCCATTATGGCTTGAGTCTTGCTCAACTAAAACGAACACTTTTGGTGATAGCTCGTGTAATCTTTGTAAAACAGAGTTTAATGCACCTCGGCTCTCTTTCACTACGCAATGGAGCTGGAGAATGCTATTGATCACCAGAACTTCACCGTCTTCCACGCGGATGTCTTTGGCTTGCAGGGATTCAAGACTCTTTTCCACCACTAAAAATTCGAACTTCAAATACAAGCTCTTTGCATGGCTATCTAGCTGTTCTCCAATTGCTAGGAGGCGTTCAATGTTGTTTCCAACACAAGTTATTCTAAAGCGGTTTGGTGGTTTATTATTGCCTGAACGGTTGGCTAGGCTGTCCATTAAACTGCGCCATTGGTGGCCATGGGGCAGGCCTAGTGTCATGCCCAAGTCCACAACATGAACTAAACTCTCTCCCTCAAAGGCTTCCATTATCGACGCATTCGCTATGAAATGACCGAATTGGATTTGTGGGCAAATTTCATAAACAAGGCTTAAGGCTTCATCCATCTCTGATGTAATATCCATTGTTTTCGTCATGGGGCCTATGACTCCTACAGCTCCAAGTGGTTGAACTTGAGCAAGGCGATCAGAAAGTCCTTGAACGAAGCAGGAAGCCACTCGCTGAAACGATGTTCCAAAGACAAGGGCATTACCCCTCAATTCTGATAGTAAAGCTGAAGCATGCACTTTATCACGGCAAGCCACAGCCTCTGCGCAAGCAATGAGTTGTTGGACTAATTTCATCCCATCTCCATTCCCTTCCTCCTTGACTCCTGTCTCCTCGGCTCCCATCATGGATAAGGCTGCTTCCTCCATGGCCTCAATTGCTAGGTATCTCTGCGTGTAAGCCCATATATGGTCACGGAATTGGAGTCTTGGCAAGGTATTCAAGCTACTACTACTCCCATTGTTACCACCACTATAGAGACTACTACTTTCGCTAGAATCATCAGCTAATAGTGTCAACTTCAGCCTCTTATGGCTTTTAGTTTCATCTAAAATGTCTGACAATGTGCAAGAACCATTCTCCGCAGTGGCAACATTGAAGAACGGATGACATGCTATTGCCAAGAAGTTGAGGTCAAGGGCTTCGCCCTCATAATTTTCATCATCACCGTACAATCCAGGGCGACATCGGAGATGAGCAGGTTCCATTATATATCTTGCCTTCTATTGCTTAGAACATTCTGGGAAAATGTTCTGAGACCCAGCTACAGAGTTCAAGGGATATTTATTGTGTTTCCTTGTTTGGGTGACACTTACAAGGACAAGGTCACATATTGAAAGCTAAACAATGAGAAAATATTGAAAGAGAAATCATTTTAATAACTTTGTCTTGCGTAAAGTCGACAATGTAAGCCCTAGAACAATGTTAACATAGTGCAATCAGAGTACATTCTTTCACATTCATTATCACAGAATCCCTACAGCCTTGGAACTTTATTCCCTTGTTAATTTACCCTAGGCTTCATATTCTTATCCAGCTGAAATAATTTGTCCATACGTTACTATCATTTCCTGATATGCAGTATTTTTTTGAGTTAACGACTTTTTCCCACCCAAATAATGGTCTAATGACACTTTCACATCCACTAATTTTTAAAATACCACTTTGCTACCCAAATTTATATTTCAACAGCGAACAGAGAACAAATTCGGTTTAGACTGTTGGGTCTTTTGAAAAGGAGAGGTTGATGAGTCTTTTGGTGGTAGAAAGTTGGATTTTGGTGGTTGGGATTGATCGAAATTTGACTTGGGAGGGACGGCTGTACAAGCCTTAATCGCTCGATTGTCGATGATTGACAAGGTCGACAGGAGTAAAGTTTAAAGGGTTTTGGTGAGTGATAATCGAGAAAGAGAATAATGGTGGTATGAGGTCATAACGATGCCGAAATCGGAAATGAAATATAAATTTGAATAATAAAGTGGTATTTTAAAAGTTTGTGAGTGGGAAAAAGTCATTTACTCAGCTTTTATATTATTAACATTCATCTCATTTACCAGGTCTCAACCCTCGATCCGAATCCTTAGTGCCATAGCATAGACACAAAAATGAGAACAAATTGCCTTGTCTATACGTCTTTATTTCTTTTTAATCTAATTTTTGTTTTCAGTGTAAATCACAAAATCGGTTTCCACTGTAGTGGCCTGTTTGGTCTTGGAGAAGGCAATGATGGAGACTCAATCTATTAAATGTTCGATTTAGTATGTATAGTTTATGTGCTTAGTTACAAGAAGAAAATAAAAAAATGATGATCAGGTGCATATGTTAGCCGGCGGCCAGCTCAGGTTTTGCTATCATGCAGTTTAATTTATTCATCGCTATCACCATTGTCCACCGAGAAAAACAACCTTTTAGGTCGCATGGCTTGCTCTAATAAATAATTCTGTCGCCAGCGAATGCGTATACAACAGATATAAGACGTCAAAATGGTATGGGAAAGAATATGAATAAATCAAATTAAGGTTCCCAGAAGACCTTTAACAAGGAGGGAAATAATGCATCTCAAAGTTCAATGGAATCTCCTAATCTATTATAAACAGACAAACACATCATGCTTTACAAGGAAAGAACAGGTTTCGAAAGACCTTGCCTTAAAACAGACAACTCGGCCAACCCCTCAACGCACAAAAACCATGCTAGCTCCTCTGCCTACTAATCCGTTCAGTATGAAAACTCATGGCCTCTTATTGATATATATTTCTTGACCCAAATAGCAATGTCTTCTGCACAGGCCAGGGCTTGCGGTGTTTGCAGAAGAAGTTCAAGAGTAGCAAACTCATGCACAGCATCCTTGTAATCAAGATGGGGCGCATCTACATTAACCTTCTGTAGTTCTTCTGAGTAAGCAATGGCTCGATCCCTCATCCAGTCATGTTCTGCAACAACTGTCAGTGTTGGGGGCATCTGCTTCAGAGGTGGACCTCTCCCTGGGATAAGAGGGTTGGCAGCAGGGTGATCTAAGTTGAACTCATCCTCATGTAGGAAAAGTTTCCATGCTTGTAAGCACATAGGCTTGTTGTAGAAGTAGGAATTCGACAGCTTAATTTCCGAATTCGTGGGAACACTCCCCATGAAGAAAGGATACATGAGAACTTGAGCCACAACCTTCACAGGATCCAAAAGCTTTCCTGCTTCTACAGCCTTCCTGGCCACATAGTCAGCTATGTTTGCACCACAGCTCACCCCAAGGAGTACACACCTGTTCTGACAACAGGACCAAGTTACTCATAAAGCACCTCTCATAAAAACATGATGAAAAGAACACAACACAAGTAATAAGCAAATAAGATTGCTCCTTTTATAAAGCATGCCAGGAACATTGAACAGAGTACTGCGAAAGGTTTTGCAGCAAAACAGTGCATCCTCAGTTGGGAACGCTATTGATCACCAGAACTTCACCGTCTCCACGCGGATGTCTTTGGCTTGCAGGGATTCAAGACTCTTTTCCACCACTAAAAATTCGAACTTCAAATACAAGCTCTTTGCATGGCTATCTAGCTGTTCTCCAATTGCTTGGAGCTTAATGTTGCTTCCAACACAAGTTATTCTAAAGCGGTTTGTGGTTTATTATTGCCTGAACGGTTGGCTAGGCTGTCCATTAAACTGCGCCATTGGTGGCCATGGGGCAGGCCTGTGTCATGCCCAAGTCCACAACATGAACTAAACTCTCTCCCTCAAAGGCTTCCATATCGACGCATTCGCTATGAAATGACCGAATTGGATTTGTGGGCAAATTTCATAAACAAGGCTTAAGGCTTCATCCATCTCTGATGTAATATCCATTGTTTTCGTCATGGGGCCTATGACTCCTACAGCTCCAAGTGGTTGAACTTGAGCAAGGCATCAAAGTCCTTGAACGAAGCAGGAAGCCACTCGCTGAAACGATGTTCCAAAGACAAGGGCATACCCTCAATTCTGAAGTAAAGTAAGCATGCACTTTATCACGGCAAGCCACAGCCTCTGCGCAAGCAATGAGTTGTTGGACTAATTTCATCCCATCTCCATTCCCTTCCTCCTGACTCCTGTCTCCTCGGCTCCCATCATGGATAAGGCTGCTTCCTCCATGGCCTCAATTGCTAGGTATCCGCGTGTAAGCCCATATATGGTCACGGAATTGTCTAATGCTTATATCCGTTTAACTCACTTGGCTTTTTTCTTAGAATTTTCCTCTGAGTCCTCAGTGGCGTTGGCATCTAGTGCTGTTAGCTTCCCGAATGATTCTTTTGCATCCCCAAAGATGTCTTTCACTTTATCAAACACTGTCTTTAGCTTGTCTGGAGTTGGAAGCTGAAAATCGGATTAAAATGGCACAAACAGATTAGATTGAACGTCAACCACCTGTGTAGCCCTAAAAATTGAACCTAATGTCTAGTTAAACAAGATAGATGACCAAAATCCAAGAAAATTAATGCTCACCTCAATGACATCAGTAGTAGAAAGTGCAGCTCTCAAATTGCCATTTTCCTACATATTCACCGTGTATAAGAACCAAGATAATGAACAGATAAAAATTATCCTTCACCATGGTTTTACAAATAAATAGCTTTGATCGAGATTAAATACAACCTAAGTGAAAAGTTAAATGCTAATTGGTGTGAAGCAAAGGGCACAGGAGTATTACCACAAGTTTGTATCCGTATCTGAATTCAGTAGCCGACCGCAATACACGAAATTGCTTGAATGCTGTCTTCTGTATCTCCTTCTCATCCTACTTGGAAAAGAGGAGCAGCAGTGAGTACAATATGACAATTACAAGTAAAATACGGCAATCTCAACTAGGAAGATAATCCAGTGTGTGAGCTCTATGCCAGTCAAAGAATTAACTTTAATTAGCTTAACACAGAGTAAGCTATCTGAACCAAGCTTTACACCATTAGAATCCTTAAAAGTATAATCACGAATTGCCAATGAAAGTTAAAGTTTTGTCAAGCCATCAAAAGAGTAAAAGTTTTGGCGAACAAGGGAAAAAGTGGAAAGAGAACTTACCCTGTAAATAACAGCAGCAAGATTTCTAGCAAGTGTATCTTTGTATATATATTTGCCAAGAAAATTATCTTTTGCAGCAACCATGATTTTGGCAGTGGTGCCCCCTGATACTATACTAAGTGGGTACCAAAGATAAACCTACGCAAAAACGAGAACTTTAACACAATAAACACTCAATCAACATCACTGTAAAGAGTACAATTTGAAAAGATTACTACTAACATTGGCCATACGAATGAAGATAACAAAACGAGGGTTGCCATCGTCTTCAATCTTGGGCAAGGAAGGAGGAGGAGGTCTTTGAAACTGGCGAGGTTGCATTCCTCTTTTCCCCTTAGCTTCAACTACCAACATTTGTCTCTGACGAGGGGACTTTAGGGTTGTGATTCTAGAAGAGAAAAGCGAGTGCTTAACAAGCACGTCTTCGTGGGTTCTTGAACTCGATAAAGGAAGCCGAACCAGCGCGTTTAGAGACATTCCCACCTCCATTTTTGCGTTTCTTCGCTATTCTTTCTCTGTTTCTCTTTATTTTTATTTTTTTGTGTTAGTGTTACTTCACTTGATCTCTGCGTGTGTATTTCTTATCCACATACAGAGTACTGTCGCTGGAATGGCCCGAGAGTTACGGTGACATTTGCACCATACACGTGGCAGATATATAATTGGCAAATGAGTCGCTAACTTTTGACAAGAAACGATGTCGTTTCACTGTAAATTGTTTTCGTGATTATCTTCTCCTCTGTGGCGGCGAGGTTATCAAGATGTTTACGGAGATGGATTATAACAAGTTTGACCAAATGCTTAAACCGAAATTTGAAGGGCTTTTGGAAAACCCAGGTTTGACCAAGTCATTTATGTATGAGATTTCTACACAATTAAGCATTGGTTTGCTCAAATTTATTTGCTTAATTTTACAGTGGCAGTTTAGAGATTGTTTCAACTGCAGAAGTGAAAGAGAAGCAAAAGAACGTCTAATGTACATTCTCTCTGAAACTCTCACTTGTACATTAGACTACTTCTTCTTTATTTAATTGGTTTTTCTTGAACCCAGTTGCAGTAGCATGTCGTAATTGCAGACGTGTGAGTGTTATTATTTTATGTTAAGTTAAGGGAGTTGTTTTAGGAGCATTTCCAGCAAGAAGCTGCAATGATGGGCTTAGATTTCCACCCAAGAACCAAGCACCCTTTCTCTTCAACAATGGTGTAGCCTTCACAAACCTTGACCTTCTTCAGCCACTGCTTGGCCTGCATTATCATCTTGATTGCCACCGGTTGAAACCCAGCACGACTCATTCTCCTGCGCCATTGGTCAACCCTCTCGTGCCTCTCCACCCTGGCTGGCCCTTCACAGCTCACTATGTTCTTTATCTCTTCTGCGAAAAAGAACTGCTCCATCTTGGCACGTCTCGTGTCATACTTGGGTAACATTGCATCTAGTGAGTCAAATATAGCTGAATAGTAATGCAATGCCTCCATGAACCTCCCTAGAAAGAATGGCCCATTATGGCTTGAGTCTTGCTCAACTAAAACGAACACTTTTGGTGATAGCTCGTGTAATCTTTGTAAAACAGAGTTTAATGCACCTCGGCTCTCTTTCACTACGCAATGGAGCTGGAGAATGCTATTGATCACCAGAACTTCACCGTCTTCCACGCGGATGTCTTTGGCTTGCAGGGATTCAAGACTCTTTTCCACCACTAAAAATTCGAACTTCAAATACAAGCTCTTTGCATGGCTATCTAGCTGTTCTCCAATTGCTAGGAGGCGTTCAATGTTGTTTCCAACACAAGTTATTCTAAAGCGGTTTGGTGGTTTATTATTGCCTGAACGGTTGGCTAGGCTGTCCATTAAACTGCGCCATTGGTGGCCATGGGGCAGGCCTAGTGTCATGCCCAAGTCCACAACATGAACTAAACTCTCTCCCTCAAAGGCTTCCAGTATCGACGCATTCGCTACGAAATGACCGAATTGGATTTGTGGGCAAATTTCATAAACAAGGCTTAAGGCTTCATCCATCTCTGATGTAATATCCATTGTTTTCGTCATGGGGCCTATGACTCCTACAGCTCCAAGTGGTTGAACTTGAGCAAGGCGATCAGAAAGTCCTTGAACGAAGCAGGAAGCCACTCGCTGAAACGATGTTCCAAAGACAAGGGCATTACCCCTCAATTCTGATAGTAAAGCTGAAGCATGCACTTTATCACGGCAAGCCACAGCCTCTGCGCAAGCAATGAGTTGTTGGACTAATTTCATCCCATCTCCATTCCCTTCCTCCTTGACTCCTGTCTCCTCGGCTCCCATCATGGATAAGGCTGCTTCCTCCATGGCCTCAATTGCTAGGTATCTCTGCGTGTAAGCCCATATATGGTCACGGAATTGGAGTCTTGGCAAGGTATTCAAGCTACTACTACTCCCATTGTTACCACCACTATAGAGACTACTACTTTCGCTAGAATCATCAGCTAATAGTGTCAACTTCAGCCTCTTATGGCTTTTAGTTTCATCTAAAATGTCTGACAATGTGCAAGAACCATTCTCCGCAGTGGCAACATTGAAGAACGGATGACATGCTATTGCCAAGAAGTTGAGGTCAAGGGCTTCGCCCTCATAATTTTCATCATCACCATACAATCCAGGGCGACATCGGAGATGAGCAGGTTCCATTATATATCTTGCCTTCTATTGCTTAGAACATTCTGGGAAAATGTTCTGAGACCCAGCTGCAGAGTTCAAGGGATATTTATTGTGTTTCCTTGTTTGGGTGACATTTACAAGGACAAGGTCACATATTGAAAGCTAAACAATGAGAAAATATTGAAAGAGAAATCATTTTAATAACTTTGTCTTGCGCAAAGTCGACAATGTAAGCCCTAGAACAATGTTAACATAGTGCACTCAGAGTACATTCTTTCACATTCATTATCACAGAATCCCTACAGCCTCGGAACTTTATTCCCTTGTTAATTTACCCTAGGCTTCATATTCTTATCCAGCTGAAACAGTTTATCCATACGTTACTGTCATTTCCTGATATGCAGTATTTTTTTGCGTTAACGACACTTTTTCCTACCCAAATAATGGTCTAATGACACTTTCACATTCACTAATTTTTAAAATATCACTTTACTACCCAAATTTATATTTCAACAGCGAACAGAGAACAAATTCGGTTCAGACTGTTGGAGCTTTTGAAAATGAGAGATTGATGAGTCTTTTGGTGGTAGAATGTTGGATTTTGGTGGTTGGAATTGATCGAAATTTGACTTGGGAGGGACGACTGTACAAGCCTTAATCGCTCGATTGTCGATGATTGACAGGGTCAACAAGAGTGAGGTTTAAAGGATTTTGGTGAATGATGATCGAGAAAGAGAATAGTGATGGTATGGGGTCATAACGATGCCGAAATCGGAAATGAAATATAAATTTGAATAATAAAGTAGTATTTTAAAAGTTTGTGGGTAGGACAAAGGCATTTACTCGGCTTTTATATTATTAACATTCATTTCATTTACCAGGTCTCAACCCTCGACCCGAATCCTTAGTGCCATAGCATAGACACAAAAATGAGAACAAATTGCCTTGTCTATACGTCTTTATTTCTTTTTAATCTAATTTTTGTTTTCAGTGTATATCACAAAATCGGTTTCCACTGTAGTGGCCTGTTTGGTCTTGGAGAAGGCAATGATGGAGACCCAATTTATTAAATGTTCGATTTAGTATGTATAGTTTATGTGCTTAGTTACAAGAAGAAAATAAAAAAATGATGATCAGGTGCATATGTTAGCCGGCGGCCAGCTCAGGTGTTGCTATCATGCAGTTTAATTTATTCATCGCTATCACCATTGTCCACCGAGAAAAACAACCTTTTAGGTCGCATGGCTTGTTCTAATAAATAATTCTGTAGCCAGCGAATGCGTATACAACAGATATAAGACGTCAAAATGGTATGGGAAAGAATATGAATAAATCAAATTAAGGTTCCCAGAAGACCTTTAACAAGGAGGGAAATAATGCATCTCAAAGTTCAATGGAATCTCCTAATCTATTATAAACAGACAAACACATCATGCTTTACAAGGAAAGAACAGGTTTCGAAAGACCTTGCCTTAAAACAGACAACTCGGCCAACCCCTCAACGCACAAAAACCATGCTAGCTCCTCTGCCTACTAATCCGTTCAGTATGAAAACTCATGGCCTCTTATTGATATATATTTCTTGACCCAAATAGCAATGTCTTCTGCACAGGCCAGGGCTTGCGGTGTTTGCAGAAGAAGTTCAAGAGTAGCAAACTCATGCACAGCATCCTTGTAATCAAGATGGGGCGCATCTACATTAACCTTCTGTAGTTCTTCTGAGTAAGCAATGGCTCGATCCCTCATCCAGTCATGTTCTGCAACAACTGTCAGTGTTGGGGGCATCTGCTTCAGAGGTGGACCTCTCCCTGGGATAAGAGGGTTGGCAGCAGGGTGATCTAAGTTGAACTCATCCTCATGTAGGAAAAGTTTCCATGCTTGTAAGCACATAGGCTTGTTGTAGAAGTAGGAATTCGACAGCTTAATTTCCGAATTCGTGGGAACACTCCCCATGAAGAAAGGATACATGAGAACTTGAGCCACAACCTTCACAGGATCCAAAAGCTTTCCTGCTTCTACAGCCTTCCTGGCCACATAGTCAGCTATGTTTGCACCACAGCTCACCCCAAGGAGTACACACCTGTTCTGACAACAGGACCAAGTTACTCATAAAGCACCTCTCATAAAAACATGATGAAAAGAACACAACACAAGTAATAAGCAAATAAGATTGCTCCTTTTATAAAGCATGCCAGGAACATTGAACAGAGTACTGCGAAAGGTTTTGCAGCAAAACAGTGCATCCTATAAGGTTGGCACACTAAGATGCTCCTTTTATAAAGCATGCCAGGAAGCTCCTTATAAAATATCAACTATTGCAAATTGCAATTACAGCCATTGGATCATTGACTCTCATACATAACGTAATTCAAGGCTTCTTAAACATATACAAACACATAAACATGCCAGAAATTAATCAAAACCAAGAACAGATAAATTTCATTTTAAGCCAGGGGATAGGAAATATACCTAGAGGGATCACCATGAGCAGCCAACCAAGGTTCAACCATAGACACACCAAAACCATCAAAAACATGCCTCTCTTTTTCCCCATTCCAATCTGTGCCAAATTAGCCTGCTTTTTTAACCAATTCAACACCTTAAATCCCTCCTCAAACGACGAGGATACCTACTCTCTGGCGCCAACCTATACCCAACCGCTATAACAATTACATCACACAACTGGCAATCTTCTACAAAAAGCATCGTTTGCAAACGAGTCCAGCTCCCACTCACAAACCCCCACCATGAAACTGCAACATAACAGGCAGTTTCTTGTAGCATTATTTCTTCCGTCGTGAGAGAGAATAGCCTTGTAAACATGACATTATCCAAAGACGAGTCAACAACTGTATCAGGAAGAAATATACGGAGAGTGAGACCAGAATAGGGATCTATGTGGATATCTTTAGTCGCCACCCCATCAACGG